AGAGAGAGAGAGAGTTGAGAACGATAATAGAGATGGAGGCCGAGATTGGGAAGGCTGAAATGATTTGCCCTGGATCGGAACCTTCAAGAACAAAGGTGCTACAGCCGGATCTGGATCGCCCTTGTTCAAGAAAGAAATTTTTCTTTCCTTTTCTTGTTTCTTTCCTTTTATTATTATATATATATATATATATAGTATACTTGCAAAAAAAATAAGGGTATACTATATATATATATATATATATATATATATATATAAATAATAAGGGTATAATAGTGAATTTATTATTATCCTTCCCTTTCCTTTCTTCTCCCAAACATAATTATTATCCTTTCCTTTCTTTTCCTTCATTGACTAACCAAACACAATGAAGGGTTAAAATAATCCTTCTCTTCCCTTTCCTTTTCTTTTCCTCATAACTAATCTTAACCTCCTCCTTCAAATCCACCTTACCAAACATACCCGAGAGATTAACTATAAAATGTGAAAGTTATAGGAATTCTGATTCTAAGTACAAGATTGTGCTTAATACACCAAATCTTCAAGACCTAGTGTACGAAGACTATTTAGCAGAATTCTATCCAGTGAATGAATTAAATGCTCTTGTCAAAGCAGACATTTGTCTCGATCTATTCCCGGCTATGTTCATGATGGATCAGAACTTGCTATATAAGAAATTTTTAAAGGAATATCTAAAGTAAAGTGGCTTTTTTTATCGGGTAGTTGGATAGAGTTAGCATGCTCAATTATGTAGGTTTATTTTTAAATGATCTTTCCTTTATATATAAATATATATGCCCAAATGTAATTTTGAGACTCGAGTTTGCTTTCTTTTTGCATGAAGGAAATTGAATTGTGCAGATTATCATTGCCAAAGTTTGACCATTTGACTTATTTAGAGTTTTATATGGAGCTTGGTAACGAGGAATTTGCTAGATATGAATGGTTACTGTATTTTGTTGAAAGCTCGCCACTATTTTATATTCAGTCCGGTGGGCAGCGACGATTACGTAGTGTGTGTATATATATATACACACATACATACAGAGAGAAAAGTTTGCGCTCGGGTTTGATCGAAGAGTATTTAAGTTAATTAAAATATTAATTTTATATCATTACCATTGTCAGGTTTCTTTGTCCATTTTTCAAATTTGAGGGGGTGTCATTGTCCAAAAAATGAATAATTTTCATTTGTCTGTCTTTTTGTCAAATCTCATGGTGTGACTGTACTTTACCCTTAATATTAAACTAAAAAATATAATTATTATTTCTAAAATTACAAAAATACCCATCTTCCTCTGGAACTTTCCATGGTCACCCCAATAACTCACAAATTCACCATTGTTATATCATCCGGACTGCCGGCGGCACCACCTGCTAAACAGGTCTGCGCTTTTTTCTGATCCTCACCCAGTGCCACAGTACTTTCTCTTTGAAGACCGGTTGCTGACTTCTTTCGGTATGACCAAGTCACCGGAGCACGATCTGGAAATCACCGTAGACGGTGACTTAATGGTCGTCGTCACTCTCTGAAATTGTTGAGTCGCTGATCAACGACCCAACCCTCTCCAAATCGCGACCCAAGGTCACTAACCTGAAAAATTTTCATGGCAGCTTACCATGTCGCTGTCCGGCGACCTGGAGTTCTCTCTCTCTAAACCCTCACATCTCCCTCTCTCTCTTTCTAAAATATTTCATAGGCCAACTGCTTTCAACTGACCCATAATAGGTCACCGACAGCTATCCTGAAGGTTGCTGACTTCTTCACGTACAACTAGTTCGCCGGAGCGCGACCTGGAAACCACCATGGACACCCATGGTCGCCGCCCCTCTCTAAAATTGTTGGGTCGCTGATCAACGACCCAACCCTCTCCAAATCGCGACCCAAGGTCGCTAACACACTGCTCTTCACAGCGGCTTACTAGGTCGCCGGACGGCGACCTGGAGTCCTGTACTACGTCGACATAATCCTGTGTTGTTCTTCTTCCATTCTACACTGCCATCACTACTTTGGGATAGGGTTTTATTGATTTGGGGATTGGCAATTCATAGAGCTATTTGGTATGTGTATTGATAATTTATTTTGTTAGGGCTTGCAAATTCATAGAGATTATTATTTTTTTTCGGAAGGTAATTCATAGAGCTTTTATACACAGAATCCATGGGTCTGTTTGAGAGAGAGAGGGAGGGGCAGGTGTGAGTTTTGGAGAGAGAGAGGGGGTGAAGAAGAAGACCTTGGGCATTTTTGTAATTTCAGAAATAATTATATTTTTTAATGGACAATACTTCTACCCATTGGTGATTAGGAAGTTCGTACTAACTTTGATGTAACGCAAAATTAGTGAAACACGTCTCCATACAATATAAAATAATAAAAATTAAAATATTTAAGAGGTTATTCGAATTAAACCCAATATGATTCAAATCTAACTCTCTCCCCCCACTCTCTCTTAGGCAACTTTGTTTTTCTCATTTGTCCAGGGAGTGAATGAGAAGGGGATCTAGTCGAAAAAAAACATTTTAAACTAAAATTCTTAAATAAAATAATATTACAAAATACAAACAAAGTTGTGGATGATGAATAAAAAGAAAAACTATAAATGTAATAATACATAGATATTTATTTTCCGTCAAAAGAAAAAGAAGATAAGAAATAAGCAATAACAATTTATCTTACAATCAACAAATCATTAGCCAAACCATGTGAATCAGATTTTATATAACAACAATTAATAAGTATATGTAAGGATTACACTATTAAACTATGAAAGATAAAAGTTAAAATGTCCAGTATTAGCAGATTAGGGTTTTAGCAGAATAGTTTGAGAGATAGAAGGAGAGAGATAAAGTTAAATTAGGGTTTGATTTTGCATCTTTTTGGGTTGACCCAATAAGTATTCAATTTTTTTAATTTTCTATTTTATGAACACTTGTCACATTACTTTTGCGCCACATCATAGATAAGCATCAACTTCCTACTCACTAGTGAGTAAACAAGTATTGTCCTTTTTTAATTTAATATTAAATATCAAGGTCAAATTCGACATTTCACAGTCCAATTAATGGGTCGGATACGGATATTGGAGCAATGTGACCACTTTTTAAAGTGTAGGAGATTTTTTGAAACAGATTGGGAGTTTATGATCAAAATTTGAAGGTAGTACAATTTTTTTGAAATTAGCCCTATTTATTTTCTAAAAGTAGATGCATTTTTTAGACAAAACATTTTGATTGAACCATGTGAAACAATATAATCAATAAAACTAGGGAAAAAAAATATACTAACTAATAACTAATAATAATACTAATAAAATGAACAATGAGAGAAAAGTCAATAAATTAGTGAAATTACATCATACATTCTTCCAATACATAATGAAAACTCAATCAAAAAAAAAAAAAAAAAAAAAAAGCATGTAAATAATCATTTATAAATTTAAATCAATATACGAAGAATTATCAAAATGTAGAGTGTATATATATAGATTTTAAAAAAAAGTGAATTTAAATATATATGCATACATATAATGTACATAAAAAACAAAAAAGCTTACACTTTAGGAGAGTACAAATATAGATATAGATATAAATTCGGAGGAGAAAAGAAAAAATCTCGATAGATAGGAAACTATACTACAAGGTACAAATTTAGGCTGGCCGCCCCTCTCATGATGCCAAATTCTTGTTGGAAGAAGTCTGCAAGTTGACCACGGTCTAATACAATGGGTTGGGCTTGGTAATTATTATCTGGCCAACTCTGGGGTTGATTGGTCACTGGATGCCCCCCAAAGAGCACCAGAGGTGGGTTTGAGTCTGCAAGAGATATTTTGTGTCTTTCCCATAGATTTTTAACAAACTTACTCAGCAGGTTCGGCCTTTTTCATTAAAACTTGTACATCCCTTTCACCCAGCTGACCTATTTTTCGGCTTGGGCTGGGCTGTGTTGCTTTTTTTTCATTGACAAGAAACAGACACCACGCATGCACCCATTTTGACCCATTGAAATAATAAATAAAATTTGGATTAATGTTATTTGAAATAGTCAATTTAAATACAGTGAAATAGTCAATTTAAACACCAAAAAAATTTCCTAGATGTTGACCTGTTTGGGCATAATTAATGATCCAGTCCAATTTTGTAGCTTGTTTGGATTATAGTATTTTTGAATGGGCTAGAGAAAAAAAAAAAAAAAAAATCTTCATTGGTGAAATGCAGAGTACATGTGCACTATAGAGTATTTTAGTTCATTGGACTAACCACTAACGTTGAAGTTCTTCGTAAGGCCCGCTTAATTGGTTTTGTTCAAGTCCATTAACAAACAAAATTTAATTAGTGGCAACCATTCACCATTGGTGCATAATAGAACATATGATCTTGACACCTTTCCAAATCAAGTTGATATACATTGAAACAATGTTTGAAAGTATCGAATTGGGGTATTGAGATTGAAATCGGAAGAAATTTGATTTAAAATTTGAGCAATTTTAATTTCAATGCCTCTTCAATGCTCATAAGATAAAATTATAAAAGGTAGGAAGTTTGTTTTCTTTTCCTTATACTTGTTAAAAAATTCTACTAACACACATGGTGACCTTGTGATAATATTATAAGGCAGCAAATTACAAATCATCCAATCTTAAATATGAAATAAAAATGATTTAAATATGAATTTATGAAAAACTGTCTTGAACCATATTGAATTTGTGTAGAAATACTGTATAAATTGAACAGATAAATATTTTTTTAATTTCTTTTGTGCAAAGGTTAAACATGATTAAATCCAAATTTAATTCAACATGCGGTCAAATATTAGTCTATTAGAATTTATATTGGACCACATCCATGAATTATGTAATCTGCAAAAAATTTCCCTCACTTTCATGATTTTGGTTTTTTCTTTTTTTTAAAAAAATAAATTTAATTAAAGGCCCAAAAGGTCTTCTAAAAACATACTTGGTCCACTCACAACCCACATTAATCAAAGTGGGGACGTAGTGCCCTTGTCCGGTAAGTGTTTCGCACAAATTTCTCTATTTCTTAGCTGCAACGCGTTCAGAAACTCCATTTTCTCTCTCTATAGTCTATCCACAATAAGAGGGTATCTTTTGTTATCTTCCTTCTTTTTCTTTTTCTTTGTTTTTTTATTCCATTTTTTTCTTGTTTTTTTGGGAAGGTTTCTGGAAAATCTCAGCTCCTCCCCGTAGAAGTACAGATTTACATTTAAATTCATCACTCATCAAATTTCCCGGCCAAAATCAGCTACCTTTTATACAGAAACATAATACACACACATATATAAACTGTTAAATCATATAATATTTGGGCTTCCTGCTTAATACTCCACAATGTCTCAACTTGCAAAAGTTCGTTTCGTTCTTTGCCCAAATTGCAAAAAAGTTCTACCAGAGCATACCAATCACTCGGTTTATAAGTGTGGTGGATGTGATACTCTTCTTCAATGTACGCTTCGTTCCTTCTCTCCATATTTCACTCCTTTTTTCTCTCATACTTGCCGTTTGTTTCGCGAGAAAATATACTAAAATTGGAAATGATCACACAATGGTTTGATTTGATTTGTTTATCATATCCTAAATACTGAAAGAAACAATTTAAAATTTGTAGTTTCTTCTTATTTCCGGCATTTTCCTAGTAACCAAACAATGATGAAGATGCTTTAGTAATCTCTTTCCAAATATATATGGGCGGAGTTTTCATTTATTTATTTTTATTTTTCTGATTTACAGCAAAGAAAGGAGTTGCTGAGGCAGAAACATCACCAGACAAGTCTGATGAAGGAAAGATTGGAGGGGTTACAGCAAGTAAAAGAGTTACTGATTTATTTTTATTTTTCATTAGCTACAAAATTCGTTTGGTTGGTTGCCCAAAATGCCGAAACCTTCTACCAGAGCCTACCAACTACTCTGTTTTTAAGTGTGGTGGATGTGGTGCTGTTCTTCGAGGTAAGGTTCGCTGGCTCTCTCTGTATTTCACTCCCTTTTTCTCTCATACTTTGCGTTTGGTTCCCAAGAAAATATACGAAAAAGGAAATGGGAATCATCACAATATGGTTTTTGGTTCGTGTGTATGTTTTATGTTATAGGTTGACTTGTTTACTGGATCCTTTATACTGAAAAAAACAATTTCAAATTTATAGTTTCGGTTTATTTCCTACATTTTCGTAGTAACCAAACAAAGATGAAGATGCTGTCGGTTCTTTAGTAAATCCCTTTCCAAATATTTATGAGTGTAGCTTTTATTTTTCTAAATTACAGCAAAGAAAAGAGTTGCCGGGGCAGAAACATCCTCACACAAGTTTGATGAGGGAAAGATTGGAGGGATTTCAGAGAAATTTCTCAAAAAATCAGGAAAAATTAAATTTTCAGAGAAAGGAATGGTGAATTCGAGTGATGGGTCTGAACATGATGTCAAGTCAAATGGTAGTTGTTCAAGTAGAGCCGAAAATGGGGAGGTGGTTTTGAGTGATAGAGTTGAGGAATATAAAAATGGTTTGAATTTAGGGGAATTCACCAAAATGGGAAAAGAAGTAGACGAATTAAAACCCCCAAATTGGAATGTAAATGGGTTTCAAAGATTAGTTGGAACTTCTGATCCGAGGATTAGGGTGAGAGATGAGATGGAGGGGTTGTGGAGGAACCCAAGAATGGTGTTGGATTTTGATGGGGTGAGATATTCAACTTCAAAGTATACACAAGAGGGAGAGGGTCCATCTAGTTACCAATTTGGGGGCTCCAGCTCCAGTTCTGCTTATGGAGGAGAGCCAGTGAATGAAACGGATGGGATTCAAAAGGTCGTACAAGATCGAGCCGAGCTTCTTCTAAGGAAGTTGGATGAGCTTAAGGATCAATTCAGTGGATGTTGTGATGTGAATGACAAGCGTAAAGGAAAGCTTCCATTTGAACATTATATAGATGATGATATGGATCCATTTGAATCGTACTCACATAATATAAACCTTCACTTGCCTTCTTCTTCTTGTTTCCATTGCTACACCAAACGTCCACCCCCTGCTTTCTACAATAAGATGTACCCTGGCATTCCAAACAATCCAATGTTGTACCATCACGAAAATTCTAGACTCACCAATCCTCATAATCCACAATCCTCCTACACAAGATGGCCCAGAGAGCTTAACTCTGAAGTGAGTGGCTTTGTTCCAAGGGTGGTGCTGGCTACTGGTGCTCGCCATTGCCGCCCTATAGCTGCTGGTGCTCCTTTTATCACATGTTACAATTGTCTTGGATTGCTGCAACTGCCTGATCAAGTTTTGTTTGTGGAGAAGAATAAAATGAAAATACGATGTGGAGAATGCTCTACAGTCATCCTTTTTGCTCTAGTCAACAAGAAAGCTGAAGTCAACAAGAAACTACTTGTTTCTTTGAATGCAGAAACAAAGAGAAGTCCCACAACAAAAGTTGATGGTAGCACTGATGTGGCTGTGAATGAAGGTACTTCAAATTACCATGGCCATCTGAACCGTGCTACAATGAATTTTCTCTCTAATTCTCGGCATGGTTTTCAGTCGGGAATGGATAAAGAATCAACTTCTTCACCGTCAACAGATCATTGTTCGAGCTCAAACAAGACTGCGGACATGAGGAGCCTTCACTCTACATCTCCCTGTACTTTTGAGGATGAAGCTAGCACTGACAGCCCCATTGCTACAATAGACGGGAGCACTTCCTCGGAGCATGGACTGACTTTGACGTCTGCGTTTTGTTTATGAACATGACAAGCTTATTTCTATATTAAAAATGATACATATTCTGATTCTCTCTGAGTATCACTAACTACTCTGTTTTATATTGTCGAAGCTTAGTTGGAGAGTCTTTCACTCAGCTTTGTGCTCTCATATATAACATATTCTACTCTCTTATTTTATTTATTTATTATTATATTTTTTTCTGTAGTGATAGATATCCCAAGCTTGGATTAATCCACTGTATTCAACAAGCTCTATGCTATGTGGAAGAAGTAACAGATGTCTCTATTTTCTATATGTGATATTGCTAAAAGAATGGACTTGACTTGGGTTGGGTTGGGTTGGGCTGGGCTGCTTTATTTTCAGGGTGTGCAGGTGAAATCACCTGTCTATGGACTAACCTCTTTAACGCTGGAATTTTTGTAAGGCCCACTCAGTTGGTTTTGTTAAAAGTCTATTAACAAACGAAACTCTAATAATTCTCTCCAAAGTCCAATGTGATAGTAGTTTCTTTTTAAATGTGTTGTTAACATTTAACTAAATTTAATTACTTGAAATATTCGCTATAGGTGCATACTATATTCAAGGGTTTTTTTTATTTATTTTTTTTTTTTGCGGTAAGGAAAATTAAAGGTAGGAAAATTGATGTTTATATATAAATTGTATACTAATATAAAATGTATAAAAGGTAGGAAGTTTATTTTCTTTTGCTTATATTTATTAGTAAAATAATATACCAACACATAGTGACAATATTAGAAGTAGACAATATTAAAAGTAGCAAAATTACAAATCATGAAAGACACCAGCAGTAAGAGTTGAAATAAGTTGGTTCTGATATGACGTGTTGTTTTTGTACGTGAGATTTGTATATAATGAATTGTGACAGAATAACATACTAGTATTTCTTTAGTTCCCTCACCTGTATGTACATGGCATCAAAATGTTGCAGGAGTTAAAATTGACTCATCCCCCTTTCAGACCAAAAAAAAATGACTTTCTTTGAGGCTGACTTCTTCGTGAGGTTGACCTTGAAATTGCTGTTTAGGTGATCAGATTTTTATTTTTATTTATTTATTTATTGCCTAATTAATGAGATTCCATTACCATTGAATAATCATTATTATCGATACAAATTCAAGAAAAACAATAATTTTTTTTTTTTTTTGCCTAATTAATGAGATTCCACTACCATTGAATAATCATTATTATCAATATAAGTTCAAGAAAAACAATAATTTTTTTTTTTTTTTTTGTCTAATTAATGAGATTCCACTACCATTAAATAATCATTATTATCAATACAATTCAAAAAAACAATGATTTTTTTTTTTCCGCCTAATTAATAAGATTCCACTACCATTGAATAATCATTATTATCAATATAAGTTCAAGAAAAACAATGATTTTTTCTTTTTTTTTTTGAGATTCCACTACATTGAATAATCATTATTATCAATACAAGTTCAAGAAAAATAATGATATATATATATATAATGAGATTCCACTACCATTGAATAATTATTATTATCAATACAAGTTCAAGAAAAATAATGATTTTTTTTTTCTCTATTTCGGATCCTTAACCCGCACACAGGTGACATTGTAACTGTATATATAGTTAGTGGCTTGAAGAAGAGGAAAAAACAAAATTTTCTTTTTTTAGTCATTGAGACTTTTCATAAGCTGACTTTGCACTATATGTATATATAAAATACCCAGTAGCTCATATTATATCAAGCTTTTATACTTGTACTCTTCTAATTGGCATAAGTCAATTTCTTGTGCACAAATTCTTTGTAGCCCACCGAAATGCGTAATGTAATTGACATCTTAACAATCAAAGTTGATCTGCTATTTGTTTGAAGTAGTCATGGTATGAATAGACAGACGGTTTGATTTCTTCTCCAATCCCCCTTTTTTTTTTCTCTTCTTTTTTCTTAAAGTTTTACAATTAGAGGGCATATCTCTTCTCCATGTTTTGATGCGAAATTTAATTCAAAGTCCATTTTTTTCCAATTTAACTTTCACGATTTCAATTTTTATTTTTGCACAAAACTCCCTGTTACTATTTCAAAAGTATGTAGACGCCCTTGGTTACCAAAAAAGAAAATAAAAAATGAAGAGAGACATTTTATACCTGAAATCTCTCTAACATTCTTTTCTATCGATCAAAATGACCATGAATCAAATTTTTTTTATCCACAAATCCAAATTGTAATGTAGATGAGTTATTCATTTCTTGTATCATATATATATATATATAAAACCCTATAAAGTTCTTTTACCAATTACAATCAATGTTTTTCAAATCTTCACTCGTCGGGAGATAAAAAGATAAATTAGATGTATGTTAACCACACTTTAACGTGTTGGAGTTTGTCATAACCTTTAACAATTGAAAGAGTTAGTTGAATCGCAAGGAGTTATTTGCAAAAATTAGTAAAGTTGGAAGGAATTTTAAATTTTCTACCGGTTAACCATAAATCAGACTAGGATCGGTTATGAAAACTGGTCTGTTTTAAAAAACACCATATGAGATTGTGCAATTTATAATTTATCATGTATTTATTCATACCTGTCTTCGCCCCAATTAAGATTTCACATTCTTAGTAAAAAGTAATAAATTATGAATATTAGTAAATACAAAAAAAGATTTAGACCACGTTTGGTGTGAGTGAATGGAATCAAATGAAGTGAGAATGGAATACTTTTGTTTTCATTCTTTAGTTTGGTAAGTAACTTTAAAGTTGGAATAATAATTCTTCGCTATTCTCCGAAAATGGGGATTCCCATTAATTCATTCCATTTTCCAACTAAAAGAATGACCATTCCATTCCCACTTAAAAAAAAAAATTAAATAAATAAATAAATAAAAAAAACATTTAATTAAACATCAGCTACACACACATATATATATATATATGTTTTACAAAAATATGATTTTTTTTGTGTAATCAAATATGAGAACGAGATCATTCTATTTTCACTTTATTTCATTCATTGATTCATTCTATTTTCACTTTATTTCATTCAATCACAACAAATTAGTCCTTAATGTTGTAATTTTGTATATGAAAAAAAAAAATATATATATATATATAGGCAAGAAAGAGGAGGAGGGACAGGTAATAACAGGCTGGGCAATGGTAACAATGTGATGAACAGTCGGCAGAATAAATGTTAGTAGAGTGAGATAGAAAAGATAGGGAATAGGAATTGCCTCCTCGCAAACAGTGGAAGTGTACAACAACAAGAAGAGTAGGTGAATTTTGTCGTGCACTCTTGTTCTAGAAATGCTTGTCCCGTTGAATGGGCTGATGATGGACTGGCATTTGGCATTGGTGGACCTGGTGATGTGTGTGTGACTGTGTGAGAGAGAGAGTAGTAGTAGTTGTACGGGTATATATGTTATATATACGAAGGACCCACCTGGTTGGTTTGGGGTTGAGAATTGCTATTTATCCAATCATACATGTTAAAAGTCAAGAACCCCTCACAAAAAGAAGAATTGTCAGTATGACTTGACATTTCTCGCTTCTCTCTCACTTTCACTTCTTTCCACAACGGCCAAAACAGTGCTTTTCTTTTGGACGAGAATCACTGCATGTGATGCAAGGACCTAAGATATGGAGATCCATGGAAACACTGGTAAATTCCACAATTACATCAACAAACACTCTTTCATGAAATGGCCATATATATATATGTATGGGGATGCTTGATAGTTGATATATATAAATAGCGTATGCCTTAGCTTTAAGCTTAATTTGTTAAATTCATTTCTTGTACTTGTTTTGTTACTTTAATAAATTGTTAACGTGAGGTATTTATTCATACTAAATTATTTCTATGTGATGCCATCTTTTTGTATAGTAAAATTTTTGTAATTCGTTAATATAGTTATAGTTTTTTGACCGATTCACAGAAAATTGTGTATTTTTGTTTGTATGTTTCTTTTTGAAGTAAAACTCAGACTATGTCCGAAATTATGACTTTAAAAAATTACTCGCACACAAGAAGAATCGAATTTAAAACTTAAAACTTAATGAAGTTTCAACATCTAAACATTTTCCATTAGGCCAACCCCCAAGTTATTTTTGCCTATATGTTTGATCAATTTTCTATTAATTTTCCTAATATATTACCAACTGCCTTTGATTTTTGAAGTTAGAGACACTTTGCAATAAATTTTCTTTAATTTTAGTTTCAAAAACCTAATGGTTTTCAAACATTATTTTAATTTTATTCTTGAATTTATTTTTTTTCTTTGCTTCTAGGATGGGGAGAATATTATTAATTATATGTTGGCTAGCCAACCTAGAATAGATTCAATTTGATGACTTTTACCTATCATGTAGTGTTTTGGGGGCCGTTCTAAGTAATGTTTTTTAATTATTGATGTTTAATTACATTTACTTGTAAAGACGGAATTTATAGAATAGTTACTTATAAGTGCTTTAATTACTTTGCATTTAATTAGTAGATAAAGCAGGCCAAATGGCAAATTTACAAATATTGGTTCAAAAATTAATTTATACTTACTTTAATCAAAAGGAGTCGTTGGACTGTTTTAATTTATCATTTGCTTGTCTAAAAATGAACTATATGTATTATTATAAATCAGAAGAAGAAAAAGACAGGACCAATAAAAATCAAAATAATAGAAAGAAAAGAAGTGTTTTTCCTTTTACTTTTTCTTTTCTCTTTTGCTTTTTTCCTTCTGGCTTCTGCAAAGTGTGAAAGTTCAGAAACTCGGATTTTCTCAGAAAACTCTCTCTCTCTCTCTCTGTCTCTCTCTCTCCACAAATAGTGTTTTTTTGTTTTCTATTTTTCAGTATTTTATCAGAAAACTCGGAGGGTCTATGTTTCTTCCATAGATTTCAGAGGGGAATGTATTAGCTCCTCTCCATCAAAGCCCTTCTTTTATTTACATCTCAAAACATTCCTCATCAAATTTCCACCCAAAATCAGCTCCTTCTCATACCAAAACATATATATATATATATATAAATGATATAATATTTGGGTTTCTTCAGGCTTGCTTGATAGTTCTCTACAATGTCTGAAACTGCAAAAGTTCGTTTGGTTCGTTGCCCAAAGTGCGAAAACCTTCTACCAGAGCTTACCAATTACTCTGTTTATCAGTGTGGTGGATGTGGTGCTGTTCTTCGAGGTATGTTTCGTTCGCCCTCTCCGTATTTCACTCCCTTTTTCTCTCATACTTCCCGTTTGGTTCCCGAGAAACTATAGGAAAAAGAGGTAAAATGGGAATTATCACAATATGGTTTTTGATTCGTGTCTATGTTGTATGTTATACGATGATTTGTTGTTATTTTAGCTTGTTTATTGGACTTATCAAAAAAAATTTGAACTTGTTTATTGGATCCTTTATACTGAAAATAACAATTTAAAATTTGTATTTTCTTGTTATTTCCTGCATTTTCCTAGTAACCAAACGAAGATGAAGATGCCAATTTTCTTTAGTAATACTTTTCCAATATTTATGAGTGGACTTTTATTTATTTTAAATTACAGCAAATAAAAGAGTTGCCGAGGCAGAAACATCCTCAGACAAATCTGATGACGGAAAGATTGGAGGGGTTTCAGAGAAAATCTCCAAAAATCCAGAAAATTTCAATTATTCAGAGAAAGGAATGGTGAATTTTAGTGATGGGTCGGAGCATGATGCTAAGTCAAATGGTAGTTCTTCAAGTAGAGCCGAAAATAGGGAGGTTTTGAGTGATAGGGTTGAGAAATATAGAAATGGTTCCAAGATTAAAGCTGATACTTGGGTTGTTGAGAATGATATTGAGACGAATGAGAATTTTGAGAATGATATTGAGACGAATGAGAATTTAGATGATTTCAATCATTCGAAAATGGGAAGAGAAGTTGAGGACTTAAAACCCCCAAAGAGCAATGCAAATGGGTTTCAAAGATCAGTTAGAACTTCTGATCGGAGGATTAGGGAGAGAGATGAGATGGAGGGGTTCTGGAGGAACCCAAGAATGGATTATGAAGGTGTGAGATATTCAACTTCAAAGTATTCACAAGAGGGTCCATCTAATTACCAATTGGGCTCCGGTTATGGTTATGGAGAGCCAGTGAAGAACCGGAATGAAATGGATGGGAATAATAAGGTTGAGTATCTTGAACAAGATCGAGCTGAGCTTCTAAGGAAGTTGGATGAGCTTAAGGATCAACTTAGTCGATCTTGTGACGTGAATGACAAACCTAAAGAAAAGATTCCCCTTGATCGAAGAATGGTTCACCAGGATCCTTATGGTGCTTCTGAGGCTTGGTTTCCTGATGGCTCTTTGGGGGCAAATCGGGCTTCGATGCAATACCCCATACCTGACAGACATGTTGCAAGACGGACTCGTCATATCAGTAATTATCCTGAGCCATCTCCTTTTACAAATACGCATGAAATGGCCATGCATAGCTTTTATCCTCCTATGCATACTTCAAGTCAAGTTCAAGGAATGGATCCTGTTAGGTCCCAAATGCTGAGGAGAGCTCCGCACCAACCATCCATTCCACTCCAACAACATCCATCTCATCCATACTATTCTGGACATTACATGGATAATGATATGGATCCATTTGAACCATACCCACATAACATAAACCTTCACTTGCCTTCTTGTTCTTGTTTCCATTGCTACAACAAACGTCCACAAGTTCCAGCACCCATCCCACCCCCTGCTTTCTACAATAAAATGTACCCCGACATTCCAAACAATCCCATGTTCTACCATCACGAAAATCCTAATGTATTTGGTCCACGTGATTATAATCCTAGAACTACCAATCCTCAGATGCATTCTCATAATCCACAGTCCCACACAAGATGGCCCAGTGACCTTAACTCTGAAGTGGGTGGCTTTGTTCGTCGCCGCACTCCAAGGGTGGTGCTGGCTACTGGTGCACGCCATTGCTGCCCTATAGCTGGTGGTGCTCCATTTATCACATGTAACAATTGTTTTGAATTGCTGCAACTGCCTAAAAAAGTTTTGTTTGTGGAGAAGAATCAAAAGAAAATACGATGTGGAGCATGCTCTACAGTCATCCTTTTTGCTGTAGTCAACAAGAAACTTATTGTTTCTATTAATGCAGAAACAAAGAGAAGTCCAACAAAGGTTGATGATAGCACTGATGTGGCAGTGAATGGAGGTACTTCAAATTACCATGGCCATGTGAACCGTCCTAGCATGAATTTTTCCTCTGATGACTATGATAATTCCGGGTATGATTTTCAGTCAATGGATAGAGAACCAACATCACTGTCAACAGGCCAGGGTTTGAGCTCAAACAAGACAGTGGACATGAGGAGCCTTCACTCTACATCTCCCTGTACTTCTGAGGATGAGGCTAGCCCTGACAGCCTGATTGCTACAAGAGACAGGAGCAATTCTGCTGAGCTGCCCATGAAAGCCTATTTGTCTCCACCTCTGTCAGGTTCACCACTTCAGGATCATTTTGATTACTCTTCTAAGTATCGGGCAGTGGACCGAATTGGGAAGGGAAGCGTAAGTGGACGCTCTGAACGAGAGAAGATTATGCCAAAAAAGGTTGCCTCACGCCAAAATTCTGTGAAAGAGTCATCACTGGCAACTGAGATGGAGGTATCATTTAATGAGTACTCTAATACTGGGGTGTCCCAAGATTCAGGGGATGGAAGCAGAGAAGATCAACTGAGAGTAAACAAAGGGGCTGAATCATTCTTTGCTGGCATTATTAAGAAGAGTTTTAGAGACTTTTCGAGATCTAATCGAACTGTTGATATTAGCAAGTCGAACGTTACAATTAATGGGCATCCTATCCCAGACCGGTTGGTTAAGAAGGCTGAAAAGCTGGCGGGTTCAATTCATCCTGGACAATACTGGTAAGCAAATGTGCTCATCCACACGGATACAGCAAATGCATTGATTTTCTTTCTAAGCATGCATGCTTTAGATTCTCTCATACATACTGCATATCCATTTGTGCTGATTCATGGGTGAAAAAATATGCATGCATTGCAAAGAGGTAAAGTTTTGCATAACCGTATTGTTACCGGTACCTCAAAAGAAGTGAAGATCAAGGTTTTCTTGTGTGATGGGTACCATATTCAATCTGGGAAAAATGGGTTAACTTTGCACTAAAAATAGTAATTAATGACTTGCTATTCCTAATGATAGATGTTGTAATGGATTTGTTCATTAAGCAATTCCACCCGTAACAGATTCCATTTGGTTCTATGCTGCTTCAATCTTATTTGGATTTATATTATGCATGAGTGAGTTTATCTCCATGTTCACGATCCTTCATGATATTCCCCAAACCAAATCCCTTATATAATAATGCAAAAAGTGCCGCTTGGTGCAAATATCTGATGACAATGTAAACTAGGTTTTTGCTTTTGTTTCTAAAAACACTTGGTCAAATGATTGTATGATGACATTAACGTTATGATCATATAATTGGAATCACTTGGATTATTGAATTAGATTCAATTTGGATGATTGGATCCGATGTTCGGATCTGATCCAAATTCGTTCACATCACAGGGTTATTTATGAACTCTTAGGCATGGTCCGCATGGAAAGCTGATGGTTCCATTAAGAATTATATTCTTTGTGTAGCAGTTGTACTTCCCTCTGAGCTTTACATTCATTTTCTCTTACTTAAAATGTCTAATAGCTTCTTCTTTCTCTCCTTGCCTTTTCCAGGTATGATTCTCGAGCTGGATTCTGGGGTGTGATGGGTGGGCCTTGTATCGGCATTGTTCCTGTAAGATAGACTATTCTGATAAAACAAATTAGTCCATCTGTCTTTGGGGATGGAAATACCAATTTAATCAAAGTAATGTAACTATTTCTATTATATTCCATTTCATTTTTGACGAGTAAGAAGAAATGTCATTGTCTTGCAGCCGTTTATTGAAGAATTTAATTATCCAATGCCGGAGAATTGTGCCGGTGGAGATACTGCTGTTTTTGTGAATGGAAGGGAGCTTCACCAAAAGGATTTGCAGTTGCTTGGTAGTAGAGGGCTCCCAACTGCCAGAGATAGATCTTACATTATTGAGATTTCTGGGAGAGTATTGGATGAGGCCTCTGGTGAAGAGCTTGATAGCCTTGGAAAGCTTGCCCCAACGTAAGCCTCAACTTTCCGATGGATGATCTCCTTAGTACTTTTGAAGTTTTAATTGCTTGACTTATTAGACTGCTGCTATCAGCTGCATTACTAAGGTTAACAATCTGGCCCATTTATTTTAGTTTAATATTACAGGACATGTTCAGACCTCCAGAGTGCATGGAGGGTTCTCTGGGTTCAGATGGAAGACATGGCTTGGGTATATCTTTGGTTGTGAATTAGGAAATAGAATTAGATACTAGGGTCAAGGTTGAATGAGATGTGGAGCAGTAAAAGTAAGGTTGGCACTAGCCTAGATAGTAGGATGGCTTGAACATACTAACTCCAGTAAAAGAAAAGTTGATTCAGGTTTGAAATAGTAGGTTGAATGATTCTCTTACCACAGAAATTGATTCAGTGCTTCATAATTGAGTTGTGAAGAATTCATGTAATCAAAACACTGATTCTTCATGATAGGGCCTAGAAACTACACGTTTGGTTTGCCAAAAGTTAGAAAATGCTATGAAACGGATTAAAGTATTTAATTTGATAATTTGCTAGGAAACAACATATGCATAAATCGAATGTGTCGGAAATGCAAATGTTGAGATGGATGTGCCGTAAGACAAGAAATGATAGAATTAGAAATGAACACATTCGTGAGATGGTTCAAGTAGCACATAAAATACGAGAAAATCGATTAAGATGATTTGGACATGTGGACAGAAGACATTTAAGTGCGCCACTTATGATGATTGACATGACCCACATTGAGGGTTATGCTAGGAGAAGGGGAAGACCAAAGTTGACGTGGGTAGAGTTAGGCTTCTGACAATTCAACCTCCTACCATTCTGATAAGTGATAGATGTCTTCAATACTATTCATCACTGTTCATGGGGATGGAATATAATCCTATACCATGGGGTTCTGGGGGTAATATTCGTGGTAAGTTTTTTTTTTTTTTTTGGATAGAAATGCTTGTTTGCCCTTTTTTTTCCTTTGGCTGTTGTTGTGCTTTCCTAAATTTTCTTTTTGCAATACATCTTTATACTGGTGAACTCTTTTCATCTCTTCCTTGCATAACCATGTGTATATTGTTGTGTTTGTTAGACTATTTGTTTGATATGTTCAGTTTTATGTTTTAGCTTAAGAGGTTCAGTACATCACCAACTTGCTTCTTTTACGGATACCTTCTTCCCTACTTTTATTTGGGTGTTCTCTGTGGAAATGTGATGGCTTTTGGTGGTTCCAGTTGATTTCAATTATATAAATTACTAAGCAACTTTATGGCAGTTGCTTCTACATATGGAAATTTAACATTTCTGACATTATCACACATGATATCAAAACACACTTGACATCAAGTCAAAGCATTACTGACTTGTGAACTTTGTACAGAGTTGAAAGAGTAAAGCATGGGTTTGGCATGAAAGTTCCAAGACCAGCTGCTACTAGCTAATGAACTTGTAGGGACCAGAAGCTCTCCACCATTTCATCTGAAGCACGAAGTATCTCTAAGCCGTGCCCTCCAGAGTTCAAAAACATCCTCATGACAGATTTATAGAAAGAAAATCTGGTGATACAGAACTTTTCTTGATCAATGATGACAAATGATATTGGATGGTTGGTATGTCTTTGATGTCTCAAGCTTTTTCTTTATATGTTTGGTTGTCAAAATGCACATTCAAAGTGAATCTGTGCTATATTATACATTTGTTGTATATGTGACTGGATCTGACCTTTAGCTTTTTGTATAATTTGTGGTTTTCTTCTTATTAGTAGATGGGCTTTGTTTCTTTATTGATCCAAAATATGGTTTAAAGGATCATATGGTTGTCTTGGTCTATTGATGAAGTAATATTTTGATTGTTCATCTCTTGTTATGTAAAAAGCTTTCTTATTTTCCATATTCTTTATCAATTTTCAATTATAGAAGATTGGATGTCAAACATAAGAATCAGGGGTTACATGACTATAACGTAGTACTTGCGTAGACTGGACAAACGTTTAGTGATGATATTTTTCTGGACGAAGTTAATCTATAGTCAAAATCGGCCCCCCTTCTCTTTTTGGCCGTCAAACGCGCACCTCACTGCACACACTTTGTCTCTTTTAAAGACTCGAGTTTTCACCATTTACTTTGAAAAATATAAGAGATGTTATTGGATCACAAGATGCCAAAATCAGTCGTTTGAGTGCTCAAATAAGATTTATTTGAATTGAGTTTGAGTTTGAGTTTGAATTTAAGTTGATTTTTTATTTTATTTTATTTTATATTTTTTTTGGAGCTTTTGCAAGGTTGGTACAATGCGTGAACAATCAGAACAGTAACTATTATATGTTTTTTCATAAATCATTACCGTTTAAATTTATATTTAACTTTTTATTAATAAAGGGTCATGGATTAACTGTTTTATGTTACCCAATTGACTTTTCATAAATTGAATTGGAAACATAAATTTCATGTCCTGTCCTATTGTGATTAACCACCGTTATTAAGGCGATTGATAGCCGTTTCACATCTCTAAAGCTATATGAGCAACCATTTTTTCACGTTCTTTGGTTTTTATGGTTTCTGTGACAACAACAAATGAAAGCAATGAATTTTTTTGATTTCAGCCACAGCAATCGTGTTGTTGTGAAATTTTCTATGCGTTTTCTCTTGATGGGTCTTGCATTTCCTCTCATTTTCTCGAGTGCCATACAGTTTTCATCTGCTGTGGGCACTCGGAGAAAAATTCTTTTGGACCAAACGTTATCACCTGCTATGTCTCCTACACCTGCTATGTCTCCTTCAGGTCATTTTTTGGTGAAGCAGCACCAAACATCAAGTTCAGTAATTTTTCTTTGCACTTTTCTCTTTTTTTAAAAGGCCATGCACGAGAATATTCAAATCAAAATGGTTTTTTTTTTTTTTTTTTTTCCTTTTCTAAAACCATTAAACAATGTTCAGAAATGATGAACCAAACTGTTTCCTTTCCTTTTATAATTTTAAGAAAAGTAGAAAATTGTTATAAAACAACTGAAGCAAACAAGTTCATTAATTTTTAAATTTTTTTTTCCTTTTGGCCTTGAAAAAAATAAAGAAAAAAAATATATAAGGGACTAACCCTTTTTTTTTTTTTTCCTGTAATATTTCTACTGTGTGTGTGTGTGTGTTGGTAGGGGTAATATTGATTTGTTTCACAATGTTGTTGCAGGTAAATGTGATCTTTTTAAGGGGGATTGGGTTGTAGACCCTTCAGGCCCAGTTTACACCTACGTGAGCTGCCAATGGATCGAGAGTCATACTAATTGTATGAAAAATGGGCGGCCTGATACTGGGTATCTTCACTGGAGGTGGGCTCCACAAGGCTGTGATTTACCCAAGTTTGATCCATACGGATTCCTTGGTCTGATGAGGAACAAATCATGGGCCTTCATTGGTGATTCCATTATGGGTAATCAAGTACCCTCTTTGCTTTGCCTTCTCTCACAGGTGGAAAATCCAGTTATGGTCTACCATGACAAGCCATACCACAGCAGGACATGGAATTTTCCATGTCACAACTTCACTGTTGCAGAAATTTGGGCCCCTTACCTTGCAAAATCGGCTATTTTTGAAGACGACAATGGAGTTTCATCAGATTATAACCAGCTTCATCTCGATGAACTCGATCCAGCATGGACCGAACAGTACAACAAATTCGATTATGCAGTCATTTCTGGTGGAACCTGGTTCTTCAAAGGTGTAATCTACTACAAAAACAACACCATTATTGGCTGCCATAACTGCCCTGGGAAGAACATTACAGAATTAGGGTTCGACAGTGCATATCGTAAAATACTACAGCTAGCTTTCAACTTCATCACAAGTTCAGAGCACAAAGCCTATGTGTTCTTCAGAACCATCGCACCTGATCACTACGAGGGTGGAGAGTGGAACAAGGGGGGCTATTGCAACAGAACAGAACCATTCAAAGAAGGTGGAGTTAAGATGAATGACCTAGATATGATAATGCATAATATAGAGAGAGAAGAATTTGATAGCGCAAATGCCTTGAGATCGAAAAATGGGATGACTCTGAAACTGTTGGACACAACCCACCTTTCTTTACTGAGACCTGATGGACACCCAGGATTTTACAGACTTTTCCATCCATTTGCCAAGACCAGATATCCTAAATTTCAGATTGATTGCTTGCATTGGTGCCTACCTGGACCAATGGACACTTGGAATGATTTGATGATGGAAATTTTAGTAAATGGTTGACAATTAAAAGATAACCAGAACCAATATTTTGTTTGCCTTAATTGTAGGTGTTTCGGAAATTTTGGTTTACCATATAGTTCTAATGAATTAGACATAATATTCTTGTACTTGACTCGAGTCGTGTTATGGACTTGACCTAGCAAAGTTAAGATTTGGCTTTAAATTATTAATTTGAGTAAATCTCAGGGGGATGTCAGTGGACTTTATCCTTATTTGGAACATGTTTATCTTTTTCCTTGAAATTATATGGCTCAGTATCCCACATGGCCGAAAGACAGGGAAGAAATAGAAGAAGCTAGTTCATGTCAAATAACAAAAATGCTGGGAATATAACTTTATGGGATTGTTCACTGGGATGAAAGAAAAAATATAAGGGTAAAAAATAACTGCGAACCTGTTTCAATGCTAGCCAATCAAGTGATAAGACAAAACTTGTTGCAGAACAAAAACCCAGTAGCGAGAACTTCTACCGTCAACAATCCACCTGTCACAACTTTAACAGTTCTATCTAAAAAAATGTTCAATGAACCAAACACATTTGACACCTAAACACAAACAACATGTCAAACTAATATCTTGCATAAAAATACAGCAACCATGGTCATTGAAATATGCAGAGAAAATATGATATGCCAGTTACTCAACTGGCATTGCTGAACAAATTTAGAATATCAATTTATTGAACCAAATAATTATACTGCATATAACATCTTAAAACATAGATCTGCAAATGACAATCATAAAAGCTGAAAAGGCTTAAACCACATTCAAAATGCGTACATCATGCTTCCCTTGTCTACTTTGTTGAAGGTGGCGTAGTTTGCTTTTGTGGCCCTGGTGGTTTAAGGAAAGGATCCTGCATATGAAAATTGCGTGCATGTCCTATTAGACTGACAGAATGATTTACCAAGACATAAAAGAAATAGATAGAATGGAGAAGTGGATGCTATAGTTCTTTTTCACAATGCCACCATGCTGATGAAATATCCAATTAACTTTGTATGCTAACACTTTATTTGATTCTAAAAAAAGAACGGCGGGAAAAAAAAAAATTCTTAATGAAGAAAGCTGTATTTACTCAAATTTCTTGTCCTTTCTAGTATTGTTTCATAAACCAACAGCAACTAAAATGATAACTTGTAAATAATAAAGGGGGAAAAAACATTGGTCCTCATGACTGATAAATTGTGTTTTATCCTTATTTCTTAATAAAAAACCCCTAAAGATTAGTTCCCTAATTGTTCAGTGCCTGTTCCCTCAACATTAATTCTTTGTTCTTTCTGGTGTGCATCTTTTCATTTGGAAATATCAAATAGAAGAGATGATTATTCAGCATACTCCTTAACGGGGAACAACACTGGGTAATGATAAAAAGGAATACTAGTTAGTCTTTTCCTTCCTACCTTTTATGAAAATCGCTATGTAGCTTCCTTCCATAACCAAACAGACTTCTAAAAATTCCATCTTCCCTTCCCTTCCCTTCCCCCACTCCCATAAAAATATTTTCTTCTCGGTCCTCTTTACTTCTCCCAAGCCAAATGAAGTGTAATATATTCCTTAGTTTCATTCAATCTATTTCAGTTCAGGTGCCCACAAATGCCACTATACTGAAAGATACTTTAGGGGGGAAAATGAACCTCTTTGCTCGGGCAATTAAAAAGTTGAAGAGACACATTATATGGTTCAGTACCCCGCATGGCCGGCATTTAACACCATAAAGTTGAACAATCAACCCAACAAACAAATTGCATATGTTTAGTTTAAAAATTCGTAAAAAAAAAAAAAAAAAATCCACAAGCATGTACAAAACCATCAAACTGCATGGTGACAGGCACAAACAAAAGTCCACAGGCAAAATCCTTAAAATTCTGATGCTATCAACTTATTTTAGATACTTAGAATTGTCATATCCTTTTAAAAGAGTTCAAACTACGAGGGTCCATTTGGCTAAGAACAATTGTGATATCCATTTAAATATGTTCAAATTAAGATTCTTAAGCTAAGACAAAAATATCTTAATCAATCATCCATTTATAGCACTAAATTTTTGGACGGCTATAAATATTCAAAAACATCTGTGATGACACAACCCATTTGATAATTTTCGTTAACTCCAAAAGCTAAGCTTACAATTCATTACTGACTCAGAACTAATGCGCCCAAGCCAATATTAGCTAAAATAAATAAATAAAAAATCATATACCCAACATCAGATACACCTAATTACATAAATCTATTTACTTACTTTCAAGCTAAAACCCCAATATATACACACACATATAGATTGAATGAACAAATTTCATAAATTTAAAGAAAAACTAATTTTCTCAAAAGGCTCTACCAATTATAAAAGATCAATTATTTAGAGAAATACATAAACTGATTTCAAAAGATAAAATTGGATTAGACAAAAACTATAACATACAAATAGTTTGATGTAAAATCGAAATCTAGGGTTTTGATTAAAGAAGTTAACGTACGTTCTGGACGAAGATGTAGTTGGCGACAACTACAGTTGCCACAATAGCGCCCAGAATTGAAACTGGGCCGGTTAACAGACTCCATTTTCTGTGAATCATCTTCTCCTTTCTTCCTCCTCGTTCCTCGTTCCTCTGCCCCTCTCTCTCTCCCTCTCTCTTCGCTCCTAATCCGTCGCGTTTCCCCTGTTCTGATTACAAAACAAGGGAAATGAACCCCGACTGGGCTAGATTTTTATTGGGCTTATTTGATCCAGCCCAAGTTTAATGTCAGTGAGGTGGGTCTCACACTGGATATTTTTTAAGTCTAGTTTTCGGACCAAGGCATTATTGTTGTTACCTCATGCCCCATGTCACATAAACATGATCTGTGGCCGAAGACTGTAATCGTATTTATTTATATATTTTAGTTTACAATACTTTTTAAAGTAGAAATTTAAGGATTTAAGTGGTGGGTATGAATAAAAAGTAAAGTTATTAATATATATATTCGTTTGACTTTGTTATATATATATATATATATGGGCGACCAAAGATAGATCACAAGAAACTTGTTAAAGATCGATGACTGGTGGTTACATATATACTGCCAAACTAGCAGGAAAATAAAGGCATTCAAGTATTATCCGTTTGAGTGAGAACACAAGGCTGAGATACATATATCCTTGGATATATGAGAATCAATATATGCAATGGATGAGAAGATGAAGGTGTGTGTAACATAATTTACCCTTAATAAACTTTCAAAATAATAAACTTTCAAATAATAAACTTTCAAATTTCAAGAAAAATCAACATAATTTACCCTTAATTTTATATATCTAACAAAGAATACAAGACAGTTTCATTTTTAGTGCCAGACACCTAAAGATTTACATCTTACTTTCAAATTTTTTGGGGAGCCCTAAAAAAAGAATTATATAGAACTATATATATTATAGAAACTTAACCGTCCAAACCGATATGTTAACACTCAATCCCAATTAAAAAAACTAAGTAAAGACTCAAAATTAGTATGATAATATAAAAAAATTTGTCTTCTTTTTATTACAAATATAAGAGCTAGCATTCAACCGAGGTAATTAAGAATTATAATTCTTGGCCAGACGGAAAATAACCCCACAATACTCTGACGTTATTACTTTCTTAGTTGAATTAGTGGGATGCCCTGGGTTTTCGCAAGAAACAGAAGACCAAGTATATTATTTTATTATATTATCTTTTTGGGCCTTCCAATCACACTGTATCTTATCCCATTTTATCTTATCAGATTCAAATCAAATCTTGTTTAATAGTACATTTGGAATTACTTTTCAACCCCTTAAAAATACTTATTTTAAAAATTGGGTTTAGATGTTATTGATACTATTAATAACACCTTTAATCTTTTATCAAATTTAGTTTAGTAAATATTTTGGATGTTAAATCTTGATATATATTCTAGAATTTGAATCAAATCTTGTCTTGGAAAAAAAAAATCTAATTTTGTCTAATAGCATGTTTGGGATTACTTTACAACCACTTAAAAACATTTTTATTTCAAAGACTACAATACTTAGGTTTACTGGTTATAATGTACACTATCTTGACCTCTGATGGACGCGTTTTTTTTTAATTAACAAATCTATACATCCACTTACCAAATCATAGATAATTTAAAAAGACTTCTTGATTAAAAAGATCTCACCATTTTTTATTTGATAATTTAAAAGGACTTGTTGATTGATGGTTATCAAATTCTGTTTAGATATGTGGTAACCATTAAAAGTATCTTTAATGGTTACCAAATTTAACTCAATAAAACTTTTGGATGAAACTAAAATTCTTAACTTATAAAATTTCTTTTTGAATAGAGATTTCATATTTTTGGCATCTGTTTTTCAATAGATAATTTTATTTCTTTTTATACTTTATAAAGATAATTTCACCCTTTTTTTATTATTTATTTATGAAGGGGGGGTGTTATTATCAAATATAAAAACATCCTCTATTAAAAACATTATTGTAAAATTAGTAATATATGTTCCGGTGTCTAATTAATATTAGCTTCCTAAATTAATTGTGTTCATATATCCATATGCTGCAGTACAAATCTACTTCTGATGCTGCAGTGGCAGGAGTGAAGAGCATTGTAAGCTCTTGCTTAAGCTCAGGGACGGTGAAGAGAATCATCTATACGGCCTCCGTGGTGGCCGCATCACCATTGAAAGACGACGGAACCGGCTTCAAAGACTCCATGGACGAATCATGTTGGACTCCTCTAAATCTTTCGTTTGCTCAACACCATGATATGACGGCAGTATGTGTTACTTTTTGTTCTATCATTGTCACAATGAATAATGATAAATAGTTCGAAAATTAAATCTATCCGACTTTTATTCTTATTTATATATATGTGTGTGTGAATAGAGAATGACATCATATTGACAAAAAAAAATTATTGTATTGTTTTATATTGCAGGGATACGCGCAATCAAAGACAATGGCAGAGAAAGAAGTGTAGAGTTACAATGGTAGTAGCAGTAGTCTAGAGGTGGTGAGTCTTGTTTGTGGTCTTGTAGGAGGGGACACACTCTCTTCAATGGCTGAAAGCAATGGTGTGCTTATATCACAAGTCACAAGAAACAAGAGACAGTACCAAATTCTCAGATTTCTAGAGGAACTGCGGGGAAAAGTTCCGATTGTGCACATCGACGATGTTATGGAGGCCCACATCTTCTGCATGGAAAATTCATCCATCAATGGCAGATTCCTATGTGCCAGAGCATACCTAAGTTCAGCAGAGATCGCGAGCTATTGCCGGAGATATTACCCGGACATGGACATAGCTGAAGAGTAAGAAACTGAACTATCGATATATGTCCCTTTGTTCCATTATGAAATGCTAGTGATGATGGTAGGAATATTTACACGCATTTTTAAGAATAGTAGATGACACATATTAATAATGGTCTCTTTGGCTCATTTAGGGTTTGCATATTTTCTAATGTGGAAATTAAATTGACTTATTTTTCAGGTTTATTGAAAATATGATTAGAGGAACTTGTTGGGGTTCGACAAAGCTGAAGGAAATGGGGTTTGAGTATAAATAAGATATCAAGACCATAATAGATGACTGTCTCAAGTGTGCCCGGAAGATGGGTGACCTTATTTAATTTCTCTATGCTATGTTTGTTTATGTAAAATATTTTTTTGTGTTTGATTGTTGTAAAATATTTACAAAAAAAAAAATAAAAAAAATAAAAAAAAAAAATAAAATAAAACTAAATAAAATTTTCATCAATTTTTAGCTATTTTACACGTCCCTGATAGATTCAATCTTAACCTCGATCTAAACCTTTACCAAAAACTAAAAAATAATATATATATATATATATATATATATATATATATATATATATATTAGTCCAAACAAATGGATCTCTACTCTCTTACATTTTCCTAAATTCTTTCCTCTTCAGGATTGTCTTTTCTAGCCATTGGGGGTTATTGCTATATATCCTTCAAGGCATGTCCGTTTCCCTCTTGGGCCACTTTTAATTTTGGGCCACCCGTTTGGGCTTTGTACATTTTCCTTCTCTGCAACACAAATTTACCTTCGTTAACGAAACAAAAAAAAAAAAAAAAAAAAAACACAAATTTACCGTATGGTAAAAAAAAGAAAAGCAACCATAACTAATGGTGGTACCTAACATATATATATATATGTATATATATGTATTACAAAAGAATAAAAAAACAAATGTCACTATTGTAAGATTTCAAGCATACGGATCCAACTAATTTTCTAGAAAGAGTGATCAACCAAATTAAAGTTGATAAATTTGATAGACTGAATAAAAAAATTATTAGTTGGACAGGGAAAAATATATATATTATTATTAATAGCTTTGAGCTTAGCGATGTTGGACAGTTTTGACAAAAAAAATTTGGGGGTCATTTAATAGTTTTTAGTAAATAGGTTTGTTGTATATTTAACATGGCAATAAAGAAGTAAATTCTACACGAATATTAGTAATAAAAAATATAAAAAAAAACTTGATCCCTAAGAAACCTACAAACTTAAAGAAATTAATTCCATAAAGAAACTAAAAACATAAGGGAAACTAATTTTATAAAGAAACTAAAAACATGAGGCAATTAATATTATAAGTATATTAAAAATATAAAGAAACTACTTACTATTAGACATATTCTAAAAATTACGGAATAATAAAATAATAATTAACTACATCAAGAAGTTTTTAGTAAATAGGTTTGTTGTATATTTAACATGGCAATAAAGAAGTAAATTCTACACGCATGGTAATAAAAAAAAATAAAAATATAAAAAAAACTTGATCCCTAAGAAACCTACAAACTTAAAGAAATTAATTCCATAAAGAAACTAAAAACATAAGGGAAACTAATTTTATAAAGAAACTAAAAACATGAGGCAATTAATATTATAAAGATATTAAAAATATAAAGAAACTACTTAGTATTAGACATATTCTAAAAATTACGGAATAATAAAATAATAATTAACTACATCAAGAAGGTTAGTATTTGTCGGAAAGGAAGTTGAAGGTTTTCATAAAGCAAAACAAAAACCATGTTTATGAAAAATGTGCATTGCATACATGCATCATGTTTCACTCAAACATGAGCCTCTGCACTCTTCTTGCGGACCTTGTCTTCTTCCTTCATAGTGAAGTCATTTTTTTATGTTAAAAATATTGTAAATCTCGTCTTGAGTCTTCTCTGTAATCATATCTCTTACTATTGGACATGTCAGATCTAACAAGTTTTAAAATTTCAAATATTTTGTAGCCAAGATGAGATTGAAGAGGGTGTAATGATCAACTTTGATGAAGTCTGCATCAAAAGTTTTGAAGGCATTGCCGGAATTCCTCTCTTCAGACTTGGGGGTTTTGACGTGCTTCTTGCAATACTCGATAATCTTGGATAATATATTGCTAGTTACCTTCGGCAGATGAATGATGGAATTGACACAATTGTCTTCGATCATGTGCTTGATGATTTGTGACTCTAACGCTACAGCCTCTTCCACCTTGAAGGTCCCATTATCTGAACTTCTAAATACGAATGTCTTTGAAGTTGACATGGTTGTGTCCTTGGGACCTTGTCTTCTCCTTCTGGAGTGAAGTCATTATTTATGTTAAGAGTACTCTAGCAAATCTCCTCTTGAGTCTTCCCTTTGATCATGTGCCTGATGGTTTATTACGACCTCTTTTATTTTGAAGGTCTCACTATCTGAGCTTCAGCGGACCTTGTTTTTTTTTTTTCCGGAGTGAAGTCATTCTTAAAAATCTTGTGAATGTCTTTCTTTTAATCATATTCGCCACTATTGGACATATTATATCTAACAAGATAGCTTTTAATTTTCAAATAATTTGTAGCCAATATGAGATTGAAGGGGATGAAATGATTAACTCTAACGACGTCTATGTCAAAAGTTTTGAGAATATCGTCCGAATTATTGTTTTCGGACTTGGGGGTCTCAACTTACTTTTTGCAATACTTGATGATCTTGCCGGTTACGTTCGGTAGGGGAATGATGGATGTGCTTGATGGTCTGCGACTTCAACGTCGCAGTCTCTTTCACCTGAAGGTCTCACCATCCTAACTTCTCAACACAATTGTCTTTGAAATTAACATGGTTGTGTCTCTCAAAGTTTAAAGAGAAAATTACATAAAATTGATATAAATCAATAAGAAAACCAACATGTATTTATAATAATAATAATTAAAAAAAAACCTATAACTAACACAATAAGAAAACTTAATAATATAAGGAAACCTTTTAAAAGTAAGTCTCAATTCTCTAAAAGTTGCCAAAATATAAATATTTGTATACCTGAAAAATTTAGGTCGTTCTCTCTCTCTCTCTCTGTCACTTTGGATGGTTTCATGAATCAAACTGGCTAACTTAGAAATGATATTTGCAAAATTTTGATTCGTTCGAACCATCTGACTAAAACTAAACCAAAATACTAATATTCGTTTATACTTTGCGAATTTGGTTTTAGCGATCTTGTTAAATGGAGAGAATTAACTATCAAACACCCAATTTTGGTCCGTTTGGGCTTTGGTACATTTTTCATTCTCTGCAATATTACCTTCTCGTAAAATAAATAAAGAAAGAAAGAAAAGAAAAGCTTTCCTAAATTTTCGCACTAATTATATTGTTTAATGCAACTTTATTAGAATTGCCTTGGAGATTGATGAACCTGCTAGAGAATACACAAGTTTAGTTGCCAAAATCCTGATGAGGTCCTACAATTTCATTTGTAACATTAAATTCTGACGTGTTAATGACCATAACTAATGGTGGTAAAATATATTACAAAAAATACAAATAATGTCACTACTGTAAATCTATATTTTAGTTATTATTTGTTCAAGCATAAGTATCCAAATAATCTTCTAAAAAGAGTGATTAATCAAATTAAAATTGATAAAATTTGGTAGACTGAATAAGTGGAAACATCTTACAATACAGAACAGCTCAATTATATGTCCTAAAACACTTCAATTTTCTTCAGCTGAGCGAAATATCGATCTTTCTGAAAATCTAAGGAAGTGAAAAAAAAGGAAAACATAAACTACATTAATACAGTAACTACACATTATCTCCAAAAATCAACTACTCAGCAAGGAAAATTCTCCTAGCCAGCAATTCAGCAATTCAATGTTGGCTGGGATCGACAAGTTGCAGTCCACTAATCCGGTAGCACACAAATCGCTTTTCCATTTTTTTTTTTTTGGGGGGGGGGGGGGGGGTGGGTTGGTAGGGGAGGATGGGGGTGTTTGGATGTGAAGTTAAGTGAAGAATTCAGAAGTGTCAAATGGGAAATTGGGATCAAAAGCGACTTGATCAAGTGAGAAATCCAAATCCCCAATTGGGGAATTGGTGACTGAAGTTGGAGCTGAAATTATCTCAGTAAGATCAGAATCTGAACTTTGCAAATTATAGCCCATTCCAAAGTCACTCATGTGGCATGGCAAAAGGGAGAAAAAGTTAGACTCGGATGTTGCTGGTGATATAAAATTTGGGGAATAGGTACCCATGAAATCATTTGCCTTCATAGCCTCTCCAAATATATTGGTTTCCAGGTCTTCGGATTCAATTGGTGTGGAAGGAAAGGAAAAGGAAAGAAATGTATCTTCCCCTCTGCTCAACTCCTCATTTTTCACTTTAAGGCATGATCCAGAGTTCAAGATCATCTCTTGTGATTGTTCCTGCTTTTCTTGATGCAGTAGTTGCAGAGAGTGATGTTGGCTTGGTTTCCGCCCTTCTCTTTTGGATGTTGCCAATGCCTGATTCAAATGGGAGGACTGGATACAAGTGTGTCTTCCTCGATACGATATTTCAAAGACCGATGCGTCCTGATCCGATCGCTGAACTTGCTTCGTTGCCAAACAGCCTTGTGCATTACGATGAGTGCACCGGTAATATGCTCTGCAATACCAAAATTTCTTGTTAAAAGAAAGAAGTGTGCATGTTAATGATGTTACATCTTGTTAAATTTTAAACCAGTACGCATAAAAAATTATGTACGCTACATTTTTTTTGTCCCCAATCTGTAAAGATATATATCAACCAATATTGATATGAGCCTCCCCTTGAGAGACAATAAAAAAGTTCGGCTGGAAATGGTATTTTTTGGTCCAACTTTTGTAGCTACATGGAAGATAGAATTTTGGGACCACAGCTTGGCATTCAATGTCAAAAGGTGACTTGTTGTGGCTCTTTCAATAGGAGGGACCAAACAGTTGATTTGAAATCTCTGTGATTGGAACCATATGATCAAGTGGCTAGGACATTAACTCAAACACTTCATGTCAGTGGTTCCATCTGAACCCACTATTCTGGTGCAAGTGGCCTTACAATTGCTTCTAGATAAGTTATGAGTACAATGTTTTTATGACTAAATTAATCCCATATTTAAAGATAGATAGGTGAAAAACCATGGAAAGTCAAAAGAGATAAGCTATTGACATCTTCTCAACCTCGGAGAAATATGAATTGCTATGATCAGCAAACTGGTGCCAAAAACCAACTTTTTTGAATTTAATTTTTATAGGTTTGTGTGTCATGTATTAGTTTTAAAACACTTCTTACGAAAACAACAACAACAACAAAGCCAACGAGGCCTAAAGCTCATGTACCCTAATAACTAACAAGCTACGAGTATATGCCTGTTTTTTTTTTGCCTCTACACACATGTAAATCATCAAGACATGAATTTCTCACCTTGGAAAATTAGCTCCCAAGATTTCCTTCTGACCATATTTTCTCCAACTATAACCATCATCAAGAGAGCCTTCAAGTGCTGCCCCGGAGCAAACGCGAACTTGATCAGTCCATTGAGGCAATGTCTTCCTGCAAATTCAGAAATACCCAAAACAAATTTAGACCAAATTCAGTCCAAAATTGGCTTAATATCACACACACACAAAGAAGCAATGGAATGATTTAAAAGCCAAAATTCACCTCTTTTTAGAGACGTGTTTGTGATATTGATCTGCAGGGTCAGAGGCCTGACTTGTTGGACTAGCACAGGCAAAAGAATTTGGGGACTCTAACATGCCCAATGCAAGCCGAGGGTCACCCAATTTGAGGAGTGAAATAGCTTTGTCATAGGATGATATTATTTGGTCAACTAGAAGCTCGCAGGTGTCACGTGACCTGCAAGGAGGGTCGAGCTGGTTCTTGAGCTGGTTCACGAGCTCCTTCCCTTGGGTTAGCTCTGTGATCAGACTCTTCTGCTCACAATCCCTCACCATTTCCATTACAAATTAAGCTGAGCCACAAATATCACAAAAATCTCTTCAACAACAGCGATTTCGCTAGGTGAGGAGGTTAGGACAACTAGTTGGGAAAATCTAGACCGCAGATCATATAAATTAGACGTTCAGGGTTAGTAGTAGATATAGCAATGTGCCAATAGTTGGAGGCAAAGGAAGTAGTCGAAAAGGATACAACAGAGCATGAAAATGAACCAGAAGAAGAAACAAACATGAAATCAAATTGGGGCAGTGTTGAACAAATTCAATCGACTCAAATGCCAAATGGGTTACTGAGATCAGTAGCTCAAACAATGTAATTTGATGAAGAAAGATAGAATTGGATGGTGAAACTAATCAAAAACACCAAATTTTGAGTTGGGTTGATATGGGTATTTGCTAACACAGAGAGAGAGAGAGAGAGAGAGAGAGAGAGAGAGAGAGAGGGGCCTTGCTTAGTGAAGAAGTTGAGAAGGAAGAGATGGAGATATAAAGGGGCAAAAAGATGATAGCATTTTTTTGACTGGAGAAAAAGATAAAAAAAGGTAATTGTTTTTTTCTCAAATGGTCATGGGAATTAATGGATAGATATAGGTGGAAAAAGAAAATCCAATTGCTGACCGCTTCAATGGCCCAAGTCTCTCTCTCTCTCTCCCCCCCTCTTATCTCTCTTTTTTTAATATAATTATGTACGATACTAACGACTAATGAGTGAACCACAGAATTTTCCATGAAATTAAGAAAGGGGGGTTGGGTAGTCAGAGACGAAGGGTGAGAGGAATAGACCAAGAATTTTCAAAGCTCCTTCCGCGTTGCTACTCCACCAGTCCAATCTAGAGAGAGAAAGTTAGGAGAGAGAGAAAGTTATGACGTTAACAGGTAAGTGTCATGTGCAACCCTTTGCTTACGCTGCCGATTAAATGATATGTACTCGAAAGTTCATTTGTCAGGCACAACACATAAAGACATATAGAGAGCCACAGAGCCACTTCTCTTTTTCTCTTCAAACTTCAAAGTTCAACATAATAACAAAAAGCCACTCTGACATTAACCATTTTTATTGTTTATTGATTTCTTCGGGTTCTGTTTCAATTATGGGGGGTTATGGAATATCCTGTCAACGTAAGCTATATGATTCTTAAAACCAACAAGTGAACCATCAATTTTAAAGTAGCAATGCAAAAACTTATCCAAAATTTTAATATATTTAATTTTGGGTAAAAAATTATAGTTCGTTGTATCGGTGGGCTCGTAATCAATTTTTCAAGAGTTCGATATCGTTACACACTTTCATGATCGATTTACACCGATATTTATTCAAATCCATTACACCCCAATAACAAACCATAATAAAAATACTCTTTTTAATTTATCTCTATATTTGGCACGATAATCCGATGCAAAAACTACAAACTAATTCATTAAAAATTTACAAATTTTAGTGACATGATCTAAAAATAACTGATTTACAATGGTCACTATGTTATAATGATCTAAAAATCATTGCATTTTATTATTTTACAATTGTATAAAAAATATATAGATCTAGTTGCACTTAGTAAAGGAAAATTCTGTCTAAATGAAAATTCTAATATCAATACGAATAAAAGTGGCCATTGAATCTTAGAAATGACATCATATATTCTAAAAAATGAATAGGATTGTTTCTAAAAAAAATTAATAATAATAATAACACCCATCAAATTTAACGGTCATTTTTTATTCATTTGTTTGAACATATAAACTGGAATAGGAGAGTTGAGGATTGGTTAGTAGATCTAGAATTTTATAATTCTTAGTACCATCTACAAATATATTATTTTACACTTGACTTGTTAGAAAACAGAGATCCCCTTGTTTCAATCATGTTAGGAAAAGTCAAATTATGATGATAATCAATAGTTTAATTAAGGATGATTACAACATTGTGTTTATCTTATACGAAATATTTAAATTACACACATTCTTATTGTTACAATTATGTTTATCTTATATGAAATATTTAAGTTGTTCGTAATATTACAATTGTAAGTTAAGAATTAATCCACTGAGAGAAAATTAATCCTTGTCTTGGAACTAGTAAAATTTAGTATAAGAATTAGTTAAACTGTCATAATCACTAATTTCATTTTCTTCCGATCTCTCGTCCCATGCTAAATCTACATTAGAGTAAAAGTTGTTGATTAGGTCAAATAGACACACTCAACATACAATTTTAAAAATTCTATTTAATATAAAGTAATCTGTAATGTAAATTCAATCCCCACAAAAATGTTACACCACTCACTTATCAAAACTATGTCATCGTCATTTTTTATTTTAAATTTTATCTAAAGTTCCATCACTGAAAATTAATGAATTTTAACTATTAAAGTAGTGAAATTCATCATTTAAAGTGTTAAAATTTCAAATTAATTGTTGTAAAAAAAAAAAAAAAAAGGTATTGAAGAAGGTTTTGATTCCTCAACACTAGTGTCCAACATCATGGTGTGAATGGGAGCCTCAGAGTAAAGCCTCCACAAAGAGGGATGGGACATGCCTAGAATGTCCCACGAAAGTTTCTTGACATAATAGATGAGTTGATAGTAGACAGAACATGTATATCTAAATCTTCACTTCCCAGAAACTACAACGTATTGGTCTGGAACGACGAGTGTTTGCTGATTCATGATTGTAAGAATCAATTTTTGTCTTTTTACCAGGGAGGGAAGGGAAGGAGAGGAAAAGGAGTGTTGGGGTCATTTACTTCTAGATTGTGGGTCCCGTCTTTGAGCGCGTAAACGCGTAAGACTATATTCATACAGATGCTAGCGCGTGCTTATTTTTTTGTTTACATGGGCCAGGTCAAACAGAATCAAACCCACTTTAATTCCTGTGATTTCTTTGAATCCTCACATTCATTCATTTCAATTTTCAATAGATAATTCATCAGCTGATCACACATTTTAGTCACATATCAAATATATATAGAGTACTAAATGCCAAATTATATATACTTAATGCCAAATTATATATATATATATATAGTACTCTGCTTGAGTGCAACGATTCGGACCTGTGATCCTGACTAAACTCAACAAATTATGTAATAAAATGGGTAAATTTTATAATTTTTTTGTGATCTAAGAATGCACTCGCAAATATTTATTAATAGATATAGATATTATTAAAATACTCACGGATAACCTGATATTTTTTATATTTATTCATATTTTTAAAATATATTTTTAAATTTTTAATACATATTTAATACTTCTGAATCGTATTCCATTAGTTAACACAATTTTAATAAGTTTTGAATAATAAAATGTAACTTTTTTAACAAAAATAATATAGTATAATAGATTAGAAATGTTCAAATTTTATTAAGCAACGTGCAAGATGGTTATTTTATATATTGTGAAATTAACTCTTATTTTATATTAATGATTGCATTTAAATTCTTATATTTAAAAAAATTAATTATGTATATAAATCTAATTTATTACTTTTCTATTGCCGTACCAGTATCATATATATGTATCTATGATTCTTAGCTTGACTACTCAATAATTTTTCATCTCACATAATTATAAGTTCCACCACAATTAGTTGTAAGAGTTCTGAGACAACCAACTAGTTAATTGTTGTCTTCAAATTTAGAATTATCAATTTATTATATATATATAATTTTAACAGTGAGGTGCTCTCACCATGAACTAGATCTGAACTTGAGAGTACATAAATTACCCTCCATTGAAGGAACAAGTACACAAATTTCAATAACATGTTGTCTTGAAAATACTTTTCTAATTAAATGTTACAGATAACGACAGTTAGAATGAATTTTCAACTGCTTATGTATATATATTTTTTTTCTCGGAGAAAGCAAGAACAAAAAACCCTAACTAACGCGGTAGCAAACATTAATAATAAAAATTGTTTGGAGATCCGCGAATGACCTAAAAAATAAAAATGATTATAATGATTATATCATAGACATGGTTCGCTGTTGTAGTATCACGGTGTAATAGATTTGGACGAAAATAAGTGTAAGGGCGAATATCGGTGTAAATCGCAGTTGCGATGCGATGGACTCAAGTGAATATTATTATAAAACGACCACTTCATGAAAGTGTGTATCGATTTCGATCCTTGAAAACTGGTTACGAATCAATCGATACGTGGCGTAACGACAACGAACAATATATACACACACCATGTTGGGACAAAAATAGCAAAGAAAATCAAAAACGCGTCACAACTCTCTAATGTGTAAACTTATGCTTAGGTTGTTTACATCACCATTCATATTTATTTCACATAGATGGTTTTGCGGCCCCTGAGATCCTAATCTGTTCACATCAACACGCCTTGACTCTTGACCCGTGAGAAAAGGTTTGTACAAAAAATTAAAAAGCTGCTTAAACTCTTTTAAAGTGACTCAATTTATTATTTGATATATATATATATATATATATTTGGTAAACTTAACATAGTCGAATGATATGATCACAACAATGCCTTGCTGATGTGTTTTTCCTCTACCACCTCGTGTTTTAAGTTTCTTAAGCTTTGTTTAATTATCAGAGAAAATAGGGAAGCAAGTCAAAGGAAAGAAAGCAATGCATTTATTATGAATTGCTCTCCTCGTTTTTATAATAATTTTAATTTATTTTATTTTTACCTTGGCTAAAAACACACTTACACACTCACTTTTACCTAAATGCAACTCGACAAATAAATCCTTGCAGGGAATGCTTTAGGTTAAGCCATGGCAAAAGCTCTTCTTGAGCCCACCCCATTCACACTCCACAAATCATCCAAAAGGACCAAAACTAATTGATCAAATCAATAGATTAAAGAAAGTACACAAAGTCACAAACACACGAGTACATGCACGCTCACCATTTTGTATTATTAATCCTGGTTCTTTTGATTAGCCAATGGTATTAATAATCCTGGTTTTTTTTATTAGCCAATGGTATTAATAAGATGCAATCGCATTATAATACTCGAACAATCTTGCTACTTTAAAAATTCATACCTTTGAAGAAAATCATGCTTACTTCATTTGGGATAAAATAAATAAATAAATAAATAAAAAGGAATTAAACCTGTATAGCAACTTCTTGCGTGAACAGAATCCACCGTGCGAGCTTATAGAATCTTGGCAATCGTGAATATGCAGCAGAGTTGATCACAGCTATGGATCTAGTTTACCATCAAAGACACTGGTTAAAAAATGTGAAACTTTAAGAAGACCTCAGAGGATCAGCAACTCAGTTTTTGTCAATGTTACAAAACATTCAAGCTCCTAGCACAGATGCATAATAATATTCATGAAAAAGGAAGAGAAATGGTAGTAATTGAATTAAGACATGCACGCCATGTGCACTAATATGTATCTCGACTGATTTATAACCAAAAGAAATATGCCTCTTGACTGTCCACATTAACCGAAAAAGGATGAATCCATGAACCATCTGGAAAGGACACAAAAGGTGAATCATCCTCCAGGGCTTATCATTCTCCATTAGAACCATCTATCAAATGGTGAGGGCAGAGCATTATTGGAGTTCCGAGTCCTACTTATATGCCTCCCATCCCAAATGGTCCGGGATTTCCTAACGAGCTTCGAGGTTCACTTCTTACCTTTCGGGTATCTGTCACCATGGTTCAACAAACTCTAGTTAATTAGGAAAGAAACATTTCACGGTCTAAAAGAAGGGATATCCTTGGATCAAATCAAATATAGTAAAAGGAGGCAACAGTTTTGCAGAAAGAAAGAAACCCACACAGAAGTTTTAACATATTTATCTACTCTAAAAAGAATGAAATACTAAGATCCGCCCATGGCCAGTTCAAAAAACAGAACCAGTTTTCAGCAACACGTCCTCTTTTTTTAAGTAGATGACACATATTCAAGTTGATGCACATGGAAGATAACCTACTACAGACATCAGTTCCACAATCAACACTCATGAATTGTTGAATGACCCAGAACAGGCATAATGTTTTCATCTAAATTTCATAACTGAAAATCTACTAGGACATACAAGCAGACCACTAGGAAGCTATCCTTTTATCTGGGGATGATAAACGACTTATAGTTTACCACTTTTAATAACTGGAGCAATTTTTTTCAGGTATTTTACCACAAAAGCAAATATATTAATATTTTTCCCTATAACTATCGAGCTTGTCCAATTCATGTCTGATGTATTAGCTGCCCACTAGTCAAAGATGCTCAAAGATTCATCATCTTTGTAACCTTAATCATTGTTGGAAACAAAAAACAAGTTGGATGGGAAGGAGATGGAGACACTTTCTTTGTTAGTTAGGAAGGAAACTAGAAGTTAAAGAAAAGTGGAGAGAGAGTAAATCCTTCCTGGCTCACCAAAATCAATCATCACAAAATGGAGGCAAAGGAGGAATGAAAAAAAAGAGCCTTTTACTCCCCTCCCCACCCCATCCCTCCCTCCCTCCCTCCCTCCCTCCCTCCTAGTGACAAGTCTATATTATGCATATCCCCTACCAAACAAAAAATAAGAGATGAAGTCAATTTTCATTTAACATGTCAAATAAAATTTCAGGCTCCTGGAACTTTGCAAGTGAACTTCAAATCTGTCTAAAGCACCATGTAAGGTGTGACATTAATTACTCCCATAGATTTCTGCTCAAAGTTTACTTGAAATTACTTGTAAAAATTGACCAGTTTGTTTTCTACATCAAAATACTACTGGAATAAATTGATATATTTCAGGGTTGCAGCAAGTAATATATATAACAGATAAACAAATAACCAGTAAACTTCTAATAGCATGACTTACAATAATAGGTCACAATTAATTTTGTATATAAAGATTTCTGCAAGATAAAGTCAGCAGGAAAGGTGAATAAATTCTATAATTAGAATAAGTATCTAAGAGATTCCCTGAATCCAGGCAACAAAGCCATAGATCTGCTAAAGGTTTTACAACAATTGTAAATATAAATCATTTTCTTCTTTCCTAAAGAGTAATCCCTTATTTTTCTAATTTCATTAAACCCAAAAAAAAAGCTCCACAAAATCCACTTTAAACTTTATCAACTGTGGATTGCCTTAAATTGATTGGAATTTAGATCCACAAGATTACTACAAAGATTATACCTCTTTTTTTTTTTACATATCATTAGCTCAGTTAACCCTAACAACAGCACAACCATGAATTATTTGTTATGTCAGTTTGGTTGGGCATGGGAAAGTAAACTGCACCAAGTTAAACTTTCTTTTTCAAATTTAATGACATTTATTTACAATTTTACAAGCATTCTTATCCCTGTATCTATCTTTCTCATCATTCTTTAGATATTACTCTTAAACAAATTCATAAACTACAATATTGATGATTTAAAGTTGTTGAATCGTTCAATCCATCTTCTAATAAAACAAAACAAGCGTAAATAAAAACGAAAACTAAAAAATAGTAGGTGGATATATCAAGGAAACAAATTTAGTTATCAATCAATACATGTTTTCTTAAGATATCACCTTACCAATAAAAAAATACTGTAAATAAAATAAAAGATATCACTGCATCACTTAGAGACACAAAAAATTAAAGAGAATAATTTAAAAGAATTACCTGATGATTTGTCTTTTCCTCTTTATATAAACTGAACACCAATTTCACATAGAATCAAAGCTCCAGAGAATCGTTCCATTACTCAATAACAATGACAAACGCAAAACAGAAAACAAAGGAAATGCACATCAAGACACTGAAAATGCTGATTCCAAATATCATGGATAAACAGCACACTTGGAGATCATTCTAACAGAAGAGATACCAGCTTCCTTTAATAAATCACTTCACTATAGAATTGGTTTAAGTTAATAGGTTGAAAAACTCTCAAGAAAACATTATAGCGGTTCATATAACTATGTTCCTTCAAGCCTGTATTCTTTTAGCCAGACACACTGGAAGAGTGCTTTGGTTCCTACCCAAAGCCCGGATTTTCAAGAACACAATTTATTAAGCAACCAAGACCAACTTTCATTATTCCAACTACAATTGTATCGCGAAGATCATGTTTAGCTAAATCTTGATGCTTCAAATGAACCTACCGTCTCTCCAACCAAACAGTTTCTGGAAAGTAATTTCATCAACCATAAAATGCCACATGCACCAAATAAAAAATTCGGTAATAATAAATGGATTGGAGAATATTTAGATGATGAAGCCATATCTTGGACAAATGTCTACTGGGGCTAGTTGAATGATAGAATGATATTCTATGAACAACATGAAAATCCACGGAAACACCCTCAAAGAGTGGAAAAAACAAAATAACTAGACATTTTTAAATTTTCTGCTTGAAAAGATAAAAGAAGCAGTATCTAGCTTTAGAAGTGCAGCCACGGCTACAAATAATCATTCACTGAGTTACTTCTACCAAACCTCAGGTAGCCAACGAACACATACCAACATACATTGTTATTTAGAAAGGGGGATTGGGCTTGGAGTATTGTATAAACATCCAGTGATGACAACTCGATGTTAGTATTCTAAAAGGATGAACATATACTGCCATGCAAAAGCCATAGGGGAAAATTGTTGGGTTGTTAGGCTGTAGCCTTACTTACTAGAGAAGGCAAAGTTTAGAGAGCTTATAGCAGCCTCTTAAACCATTAGAACTAATATTAGGTTATACAACATATGTATGTATGCAACCAAATTAAGTCTGTGAAAAATATAAATGTATATAAGTAAGCCAATATTATGATATTTTACAACTGTATGAGCACCTAGAGAACTAATAGAACATTACTACATTGCTCATTCTGATTTTCATAAATATAACTGATATTTACTTTTGACAGGCAATAGGTAGTATTACAATCAAGAACAGTAATGAGATAAAACGCTTGATGAACAGAATACATAATAGCCTTGCATCTGTTGATTCTCCCATTTTTATTCTTCTAACCCTTTTTCTTGTTAATGTCTCTTCACGCTGTCATCTCCTCCAATAAATTTAACAAAAATGCACTATCATACATATTCTATTAAACAAACTCTCCTACTCCAAGACTTCATTTCCTCCGTCCAGTAACACTAGGCTCGTCATGTAACTAACAACACGAAAGGAACCTGGTAAACCGTAAATTTCAAGATCCTTAACTTGTTGGTCCCCAGGGTCATAGAAAACCAGCTTTCCATTGTACAATACAAATAGAAGTTCACCATTATTCAGAAAACACAAAGGGAATGAGATTTGAGCTTGCTCAATTATGAATTGTTTCGTCCATGACTCTACCACGCCATACTCGTTCATGAACCATATCTCCCACCAGTCACCAAGTCCACTTTCAAAATAGAGAATTAGAGCCAGTGACTCCCCAGAATCCGAAACAGCCAAATGGACTTTATTGTAGTTAAGACTGAGGTTATTGGGCATACCCATCTCCCAAAAAACCTCATCACTCATATCAAATGACATGATTGAGTCACAGACACCATCTTCCTTCGGTCTCTTATACGCCATCCAATGCACAGTTCCATTCACATACACATTATTAGTCCAACATTTCGGAATATAACATGGAGCCACAGCCCCAACTTTTCTCCAAAAATTACTCTTCATGGTATAAACCAACACATCAGGTATAGCTAAACGGTCCGAATCATACAAAATCTGTACTACCTTGTAATCATCAATCTTGGAAACAAACCCAAACCCAACAACCATATGAGAAAAAGAATCACGAAACCGATGAGAAAGGTGTGAATTGGGAATAAATTTAGACTTCCTAATTACAGGGTTCCACAGAATAATCCTACCAATATATGTGAAATAATTAGTATCGAACAAACAGATTAACCCTCGACTCGAACCCACAATTCTTATGTATCCATGAACACTCTTGAATGGGAATTCAAGATTCATGTGTTCATCGAATGTGTTTATGCAACGCAAAGAGTATGAATCTTTGGTGTAATCGCTGGATTCATAGTAAAGGAGGAAGTGACAACCCTGTGTAGGGTCGGAGGTGGATCGTGCGAGATGAAGCTTGATGAAGTGAGGATGAGCGATTAGAGGAGGCCATGATTTGGCTACGCACCTGAATTGCAGGAGAGATTTGATGGGTACTCTTGAGAGGATGTCGAACATCACATCGCGAGGAAGATTGGGGACTTCGCTTGACATCTCTGGAGCAAGTCAAAAGTCTGTTTCGTCTTCGCACGACCACTTTCTTGAACACAAAGAGAGCAGCAAACTGAGAGAACCGAGTCTTTACAGAGTGTGAATGTGTTGGGACTTGGAGAGCAAAACGGGTTGGTTTTGCCCAACTGGTGGTCAGCTGTTAACTAAGGTTCTGTTTGGATTGTGGATTTACACGCTGTTTGGTTCCTTCTACGAAGGGAAGAGAAGGAAAGGGAATAAAAGATTAAGACTAAGGGCATGTTGGTTTATTTTATTTTTCTAAAAATAGTTTTCAAAAATTCAAAAAATTATTTTTAGATTCGTCTTTTGACTAAAACCAAGAATTTCAGAAAAATAGTTAACCAAACAAATTTTTGAATAATTTTTTATTTTATTTTTTCATTGATAAAAAATGTACACACACTCGTCCATCCACTTTAACCATTTAGGAACTCAAACCCTTACCATCTACCATAGGTGGTGGCCACAGAGCCCTTAATAAATTTTTGTATAATTCTTATGTTCTCTAAAAAGAAAAAATTAAACCAAACCTCATTGAGCATAAAGAGAATAAATGGAGTGGCTAATAAATGACATTGAGCATTTTAGAATTAGAGTTGCTGAGGTCAAGGTGCTTAAATGACTTGCTTGATTAGCGTTTTAGAATACACACACTCACACCACAAATGACTAAGCGAACCAAACTTGACCATCCACTTTTTACTTTGAAGGCAAAAAAATACTACCAGACTACACCTTTTATTATTTTGATGAATTTTCAAGGCTATTGTGACATTTAACATGTCACATGTATGAAGTGAGGACCTTGTACCTACAAAGCACTAATACCATGATATAGATATTTTAACATGGAACACAAGAAGAGTGTCTTCACATCTGATCGTTCAGAAACTGAGACCTTTTTGTAAGGTAAAAGTGTTTGCTCATGTCATGATGTCAAGGCATTTTTGGAGCCTATTTGACGATGATTTGGTAACTGCGGATCAAGCAACTCAGTTGAATTGAGTTGGAATACTCACCCATAGCCTGTCGGTGACATCAAAGGAGATGTGAAGCGATGCTGGACTTTGTTGGTAACAAATCAAGTGTACCTGCCTAACAATTTAAGTGTACCGATGCAAAGCCCTCTACAAATGAAGTGGCAAAGCTCTACCTGCATATGCTCATCATGTTGCACACGAAGAAAAACGAATGCAAGAACTAATGCAAGAAATCTTCATCACAAAAACATTTCGAAAGAAATGCTTGATTGATATAGGATCCGTATGTATGATTATAGACATTGCTGTCGGTATCTATCACAACATTCTTCTAAGGGACATAACCTTCCAGTTGGTGAATAGGTTCTTTACAAGATCTGCTGACTTTAGGGAAGTTATTGTTCAGGGGATGGTATCTTCAGAATTGAGATTGTTAACTAATTGCTACTTCCAACTACCTAACATGTCAATTGCAACAAGAAGGTGACTGCTATGAGAGATCAACTCAAGTCCCATTTCCAAATTGGTTACAATCATTGATGATGCTATGGTGAATCGGGGAATGCACTCACCAAGGTTGCCCTTTCCCTCCAAGCCGACGTGCCAACTCCCAATCTTTTTTCACTGAAGAAAAGCAAATAAAACACTGAATCTCAATGCATTACAAGGACAAACTCACAAAATTGACAAGAGATCTAAAACAAACCAAATCCATACTGTGAGCCATAGCATGTAACAAACGAAAAATTAGAACAAATCACTTTTGGTCCAATATTAAGGTGCAAAAGAACTCTGTTCTATGCCATCATGATCTTTGCACCCCTCCCTCCCCAAAAAATTACCCACACAAAGAATAAAGAAAATAAAACAAAGACAAGGAAATATATAAATGTGGTCAAGATTGGCCACTAATTGAAAGAAATAATAGCAGCAGCCTTACTTTTTTTAAGCAAAGAACGACTGTTTTAAGAATTAATGATTTATACCTTAGAAGGGTTGAATCATCAGATGGCAAAATCTGAATAAATTTATTATTATTATTGGTATAGTCTTATATACTTTTAATTTTTGAGATAACCACACACAACTAATTAGGAATAATCAAAGCAATAATTCTAATGAACTTATTAGACATAAAATAAGTTGTTTATCATTAATGCAGATTGTACTGCATGAACTGCAACATGTCAACACCTGAAACATTTTAATGAGCCAAAATAATAGATAACCAAATTGAAAAATGAACTTTCAGAATCTACTATGAAAAAATATAGATATAGATGGTTTAATTGCATATAACCCAAAGTCAATAACATATATTATAGATATTGTATAAGCACTATATTGTTGCATTAAAAATATAATTAAAAAAAAAACACGTAAAAAATGTAAGTTTCATCAACATTCCAGTATCACTTAAATAGAGCATTCTTCAGAAAAAAATATATATAAATTAAATAGAGTATTTTTTATCACCTGTTGAACAAACATGGCACATGGATAATGAAAAACAAACAAAATCCAAAACAAGAAAAAGAAAATGATCAATACAGTAATCTAGTATCAATTTACTCTAACTTACTAAGTGTAACGCGCTTTCCATGAATTGCACATAGCATTGCATCTTCAAACAAATGAACCAAATAATCCTCTGCAGCCTACAAAAATGACCAACCATTTATTGAACATATATTTATGTCTACTTGTGATTCTTAAAGTCATAGCAGGAGCATATTCTCATTTACAAAATACTATAGACACCTTGGGATAAATTAACCAACAGCTCTAAGTAGTTTGAGAACAAAATTATGAAAATAATAAGGTACGCCACCCAAGTCTAGCACATTTGGATCTAAAACATGCGCATCATGACACGTATCTACGTGCATGTACTCAAACAAAAACCCAGACCTCCAGTCTAAAACGGAAAAAGCTAAACTACCTCCTGAAGCGCCACTAGAGCTTCAGCTGTCCACCGAGTGATTTGAGGAGCAAAACAGTTGCTAATTTCTTTCACCTGACACAGATGACAAGGACTGTAAGCATTATGTGAAGCAAACCTTATCATAATGCATAAAAATGAATACATAGCAGGTACTGAAAAGAGCAGTATTAACAAAGAACTGCACACAGTATTCTAGTGCAGTGGTAATGGGTGACTTGAAATGCACTTGTACACATCCCGAGAGATATTCTGCAATAATATGGTACTATACAAAAATTGCATTAATTAAGCACTCGGTTGCTGCTAAAAGTTTTGTGAAACCCTCACTTACGAATCCTGTTTGTTTCTTTAAGTCCGCTTAAAATAAATTGAAAGATGTGTAATAAAGTCATGCCAAATAGTGGAGTGTGTCATTCTAAATAAGATAAGAAATATGTAGCAGGATACTTGATCAAAAAGAAAATGCTTTCTGCATGATAAAAGGTGACCAACTCACATTTAAACTAACCAAATGAAAATAATAAAAAAGATGAACTCCTCAAACCAATTAAGTTAGTGGAGAACTACATGGGAAACAGCTGAACCAATTCATACAGTAATTGGCTTCTGGGGTAAAGTCGATTGTTCAACGTTTAATTCAATCAATCGAGCTGTTCGGCACAACAGTTTTCTATTTAGTTTTAAACTCCACTAAAAACCTATTCTCTTGCAACCTCTTGGCTGCCTATAAATACGTAACTTAGGGCAGACCTAAATAGACAATATTCATCTCTTATACACAGATAATACATATTTTTGAGAGAAGATCTTTGTGAATTTTTTGGGTGTTCGTCTTTCTTTTACATTAATTATATACATAAACAGTTCAATCCACACACTGTTGACACGTACTTTTGAAGATTAATTCAACACACCAGTTCAATTCACAAACAGATTGGCAAATAATATTTATTAACAAAATAGCAGTAAGACACTATAATTATATGTGGATAAGCAGCATAAAGTTGTATAGATCAGTTATGACTTTGTTGGGTTGGGTTGTAAGTACAATGTTCATCAAATCAATATACTGACAGCCTCAATTGTGCGCAGCATACTGTACTCAACTGAGTTACACAACTTAATATAGTCCTGTCCTGTTTCAATAATTCTATACCACAATCCCAGCATTCAGTTGATAATTTCAGGAAATTTATTCACAGTAAGTATATCATGTGAATGGAACCCATAAAATTGTCTTGAGAGAGCGAGAGAGATGACTAACAGTTCTAATGAAAGGAGCAGCTGGAATGAGAAGCTTCCAGGTCTTCTGAAAATGCCGTATCTCGCGAAGAGCCACCATTCCTGGCCTGTGACGGTACCGCTTCCTCTGCCTTTGCCCATCTCCGGAACCTGAACATCAAATGCTCCAATCATTTCTGAACCAAAATTCATCATCAACACACAAGAATGCACAAATGATATGAGTTTGGATTTGAAATTAGAAAAATTTAGGTAAACTTCGTATTAATTTTTTTACAATTCCAAATGCAAGGCCCCAAAGAAAATTTTAAAATTAAAGGAAAATATAATATAAAAACAAAACAAAAAACAAAACAAAACAAAACTCACTTGGTGGAGCAAGCCTCGAACTTCTTCTAGAAGGTGTCTGCAATTAAATTAGAGAGTAATAAAAAAAATAAAAAACATAATAATGATGACAATATGACATTCATGTGTGTGTGTGTGAGTGAGTGAGTGAGGGAGAGAGATTGGTACCGAACTCGGTCCGGGAGATGCTGGTGAAGTCACCCCTGCAGCAATGATTTTAGAGAGAGAGAAAGAGAGTAATTAGGGTTTGAGAATGGAGTAAATGAAAATTCTTAGAAATTTTGAGATAGAGATGAGGACCGGAGGGTTGTCGGCGATTTCGTTGCTTTTTAGCGACATGTTTTCTCCTCGCCATGTGTTTGTTGAAATGCCAAGTTGTTTGAACGGCTATGAAATTCCTTGTTGTGATGATTCTCAAAATTTTTATATCTTATTTTCGGTAGATGGTGAAATCCAAAAAGAGATTCATTCTTTTCCCGCTCAATCTCATTTTGATTTGGGAAGAGAGGATGTCGTTGCTACAGGGCTGGGAAGTGGGTGATCCACCGCTGCGACCCACTGTTTGGGTTCCGGTGCACGCGGATGATCGGGTCATTGGATTTGATTAGACATTTTTTTCTTTTTACTACTAATAATTTGCATTGCATTTTTTTACATTTACACTTTATTTTCGTAGAAAAGGTTACACAATTTTTCTTCAAATGTTCTCTCGTACTTCACGTTTATTTTTAATTTATTTTTTTACTTTTTTGAAATAATTATGTCATTTATTTTTAATAAAAAAAATCAAATAGAGAGTAAATATTTTTGTTCTTTTTGTTTCCTTTTATTGGAAAGGAAGAATCACACAGCATTGCTACGGAAATCTTCTCCTCTGTCACCAAAAGATTTTTTTGCCAATAGACCCTTTTTCAAATATCACTCAAGATGCAGGAGCTTGGAAATCTCTCACCTCATATTTGCTGACGACCTCCTCCTATTTTTCTATAGGGACCTTACATCTGTTTCTACCCTTAAAAGGGTTATTGATCACTTTAAGGCCCTTTCGGGACTCTGCATTAATTGCTCAAAGAGCAAATCTTCCCCTCTAGAGTGGACAGCTCACACACAAGTGGTTTTGATAACTTGTTTGGCTTTGAGTGTGGATCATTACCTATTATGTATTTGGGGGTGCCATTAGCCTCCACTAGGCTCAAGGCCTCAAGGCTGCAAATTGCAAAGGGCTAGTGGAAAGAATCACATGTAGAATCAATCACTGGTTTTCTACTTTCCTATCTTATGCGAGTAGGGTTCAACTGATCCAATCGGTGCTATACAGCATGGTTAACTATTGGTCCAGTTTTGTTGTCCTTCCTAAATCAGTTCTTGTTGAGGTTAATCAATTGATGAAGAACTTTCTATGGACGGACACGAAGGATAACACACTCTGGGGCTAAAATGGCTTGGTCTAGAGTTTGTCAACTTAAAGAATGTGAAGGCATTGGGTTTAGAAGTCTTAAAACTGCGAATGTGGCTACCTCCTTTAGGCATATTTAGACTTTCCTCTCAGATCGTAGAGAGGATCTTTGGACATCATGGGTGAGACTCAACTAGTTGAGGGAGATATTTATGGACTATTTGCATCCCATAGGCATGTTCCAGTAATTGGAAGAAAATTCTTCAGCTTAGGGGTTTGGCAAGATCCATGCTTCGAAAGAGGGTAGGTAATGAGGAGATGACCTTCTTCTGGGAAGACAATTGGTTGGATGGAGTGCCTCTATCTTTGAGGGTAGCTGATGGGTTCATAAGGGACTCGCCCATTTCACCGAATCAAAGGCTCTCTACACTCACCGTGAATGGAGTCTGGGCTTTCCCTGAGGAATTGGTTGATAGGTTTCCTGAGCTTGCCCATATTGATCCGCCGAGCACTTCCAATTATTCAGCTATATGGACACCATCACCTACAAGTTCTTTCTCACTTGGCCACACCATTGGTTGGATTGACACACCCTTTCTGGTAACTTAGCTCAACCTTCATCATAATTATTTCCTTTCATTTGCCTCACAGGAATGGTCTTCTAAGTTTATTTACAGTTAGTTCTGGAGTCGTGTTTGTTTTTCAGTGCTTTGTCCCCAAATTATATAATCGTTGGTTGGTTGGCATTGGTTTGGGTGGTGGGCCTGTGTACTCAAATTGGTTTCTAGAGTTTGTTCTTGTTCCTAATAGAGGCAAATGGATGGTCTTTTTTTCAATTTTCTGGGCAATTGGAACAATACTTAAGGCTTCACTTGCATGGGTTTGTCCAAAACTTCCTCAGTGATTCTAGTCATTTTTCAAGGGACTCTTTGAAGATCTCATTACATAAAACTAAAATAGAGTTTCATCTCTATATGGAGTTTCATCGTTTTGCTCTGCTACCTTTTAAATACCTGTTATATTTGCTCCAATTGCTGTGGTATCTCGGTTTATTTTTGGTGGTTTGAATGGTGTGGCTATTGTTTGGTTCATAGAACTAAGGCTTCTGTTGATATTCACTGGTGGGCTTGGAATTTCTGGGATTTTTTGTATAGCTGGGGATTGCCTCTTGATACATGTCTAGAGGCTTAAGCCTTTTTCTTATTAATACAATGACTGACTTATCCCAAAAAAACATAAAACTACCTAAAGGCCCGGATATAAACTCTCTCACTGAGTCATTAAATTCATCTAGAAGGTAATGATGTTACTCATAAAGACCATTGAATAAAAGAGACTAGGTCCCCAAAAACTGTATAATGCATCGGGATTTTCAGTGCAAGTGGAACTAAGAGAAATCAGGGAAAACTAAAAGGTCAACAGCAACCACTAACCCCTACTGCTTGGAATTCCAAGATGTACATCTTAAACGAAGGGGAACTTCTTGTTAACATGGAGAGGTAAACAACTTAGTGCGCAAATAACCACAGATTACACAAAATTAGGGGTGGCAAATGGGCGGGTTGAGCCAGTTTTGAGTTATGTTGAAAATGGATGGGTTAAGACTCATATTTAACCCGTTCAGAACGATTTGTGACCTCGATATTTTAAATGATTTATTAATTAAAATTTAAAGGAATTATTAATTAAAATTAATTACTTTTATTTTATTTTAAAAGATTTATTTGATTTAATTTAAATTAATTGTGATTATTTTAATTCTTAATTGATTTGTTTTATTGAGTGTTTAGATTAATTGTTTTATTTTATTTATATTTCGTGAATTATTGATGTGCTGATTGTAGTGTGTGTGCTTAATTATTGATTGAATTATGGCGTATTGATTTTTATTGGTATGGTATGACTTAGTTGTAAATTCTTGTTTATTTATGTGCTTTATATAATTAGTTATTTTAATTTAAGTGTTTATTTAATTATTTTATTTATTTAAATTAATTGGATTGGGCTTAAGAAAAGTTGGACCAAAAGATATGGTCTTGGGCTTGGATGAAGCCTTGTTAGGTTAATTAATAAAGACTCATGGTTATTTGATTATTTAAATGATCATTTTTGTATAATTATAAATATATATATTTAATTATATAAAAATATAATTAATTAATACATGTTATGGAAGATATATATATAGATATATATTTATGGATATATATAGGATATATGATTTAATTAACTAATAGTTAATTATGGAAGATATATATATATATATATATATATATATATATATATATATATATATATACATATACATGTAATATAATATATGTTTATTATTATATTATTTAAAGATAATTATTATTATTATTATTATTTAATTTGATAATCCTACTAGGAATAGGATTAGGGTAATTAATGTGTATAAATATACAGATAAGGTTTTATTGTTAAAAGCTTTTCACGTTAGAAAATAAGAGAGATAGAGAGAAGAAGAGAAGGCTGACAGAGAGGAGGCCGAATCTAAGAAAGAAGACGCCGAAATTGGAAGAGACAATCAAAACTTGAAGCATCGATTTCGTTTCGAAACCTTCAGGTGAATTATTCTCTAACTTTCCTTTTAGGACTCATAAGAATTTCAACTTGAGTATCAATATTTAGATTTAAATTTATTTGTTTAAAAATCATGGTTAGATCGTAATAATTAAAAGCATAAATTATTATATTTATTCTTTTCTAATTTTGGATTTTAAATTGATATATGTATAGGTGTTGTATGTATATTTTAAAATCAATTTATAGGTTGATCTTGAACCTATTAGGGTTTCTGGAATTTTTCTATAATTTCTGAAATTTTTCTGTATTTTTCTGGATTTGTTTTTTATTTTTCTGATATTTTTTGAATTATATATATACAATTATTTATGTGTATAAATATAATATATATACTGTATATATAAACGCCAATGTAGGGTTTAGTAATCAGCGCACTCAAAATTGGGTATGATTCGGTGCGGCACGACACACATCACTGTGGTGCGCGCGCATCACAAAGGGTTAGCTGATGATCAAAGGGGAAATCCAGTGCGGCGCGACATATTTTATTACGGTGCACACACAGATTCAGAGGCTAAGATGTGATGATGAAGGACGGATGGTCCAATGCTTTGCGGCGCATGGAGACATGGTTCGCGCTTGCCTCTGAACCGTAGATAGGGTCTAGTCAACATAGGAATGATGCGGTGTAGCGCATCTCAACAAACACATGGAGTACCAACCAACCAGAGGATACCACGTCATCTAGAGAGTAATCAGGCGCATGGGCAGTCGGTGAGAGCGCGTGTACGGGCGTGAAGCTACATGGCTGCTTGTAGTGGCGCGTGGAGGCACATGCAGAAGCTTTAGGCTTGTTTGGCAGCGCGTAGGGGCGCGTGAGCAGGTGTTTGGAGCCTCGAAAAGGTTTTGTGGGGTCTGGTGAATTTTTAGAAATGGTTTTAAGCGGTTAGGGTTGAAAACAACCACTAAATAAGTTGTTCTTGGTGTCCTGAAAGCCATAAAGTGTTACTACGAGGATTAGTAGCATTTATTTTGAGTAAATATAATAAATTATTATATTGTTATGGAATGAGGTGTGTATATGTGTGTGTGTGTATATATGTGTGTGTGTGTGTGTACACACATAGGTTTAATTAAATTATGATTCGTATAGAAGGATATATATATATATATATATATATATATATATATATATATATATATATATATTTGTATATAGTATTTAAATAATCGAGGATTATTAGGGAAGGATTGTACATATTTGATATGTCTGAATAGGCTGGTTGTTTAAATAAATAATATATTTATAATATGCATAAGATTGGTTATGTATGATTTAGCTTATTGATAAGTTTAAAAGTGGTACATGGCTAAATTGTACGCATGGATTAGTTGCTAAAGGCTTAAATAAATTGCTTAATTATTTGTATAAATACAATACATACATAAGAAGCTTCATTAGATTGCAAGTTTAAAAGTATAAATATATATATACTTGTGGAGGCATGGTTTAATTGCCATGTATAAATAAATATACTTGTGGAGGCATGGTTGAATTGCCAATGTATAAATAAATATATACTTAAAGGAGGCATGGTTGAATTGCCGATATATAAATAAATATATTTATAATGGCATGGTTGAATTGCCAAAGTTAAAAAGATAAAAAAAGAATTGGCAAAGCGTAATTAAATTGCTATGTGTTAGATGATTAAAATTTCATCTATGGTTATTGTATGTATAGGTTGGATTATAATTTGTTATTCTTAAATTGAAATAATCGAGTATTTACAAGTTAGTATATTATTATATATATATATTAATAAAATAATATTGGAGAAGGTATGGATGAACTGTCAAAGTATAAGCTTTATGATTTAAATAAAT